CTTAGGAACCAAACGAGGCCTAGATGTTTTATTATCTCTATCGATCCCTTTACTAGGTCCCAATTTTCATAACTTTATCCCTAATGAGAAATGTCTTCCTTATTGGAAGCATGCTGCTCAGTTACAGATGGTCAAATTTGTTTTGGTGCAATAAATTACCGCAATTGTTCTGAACTTTGACAACTTGATTTATATACTACATGGAATAAAATGCTACAAATAGTATCTATGATTTACTGATAACAAAGGAAAAAAGATGATCATCATGATGCTGGATGCTGCCAAAATGGAGAAAGCAAACAGATATTTTGATTAAATAAAAACTGGCCAGGGATTTAACTAAAGACAAACCAACCTTTCCTGGAGCGTCCCTTTGACCAGTAGAACCGATACTTCGGTGTGATAATGATGCACCATGCGATGCAGGCATACCCCTGTATCCCCATCTTTTCATGCCACCCTAAAACCAGAAGAAACGGTAGCACTCTGTTATCATACAGTTCAAAAAAACTGCAATTTCACAAACCTAACATGGATCTCACTTAACAAAGACGAGAAAAAATGAAGTTCTATACAAGATTTCAAAAATTATTTGACAGCTCAAAGTCTGATGAACAATGCCCATGTTACAGTTGGTGAATGGCAAGCATTCCTGCCTAAAGTCGATAGCTTTAAATACGTTCCTTTGATCGCTTGAAACTCAAAACAACCCATCCTTTTCAGGTTATTTTCGAAACAGCAGCTCCGGCTTCGGGATATTTTATTTTTCCTTTTGCCAACATAATCCCAAGGAAATACAAAACATCCAAAACTATTTCTGTCATGGTGATTAGCAGGGTAAGTCAATCACATAGATAGTTGTGCATATGATTTGTTTGGAGCCCTCAAATGACAATACAAAATAAATAAACAAAAAATCTGAGAAAATCACAGCAACTTCATACAGAAACTGAAACACATTTCGATGAGTTCATCTTGATTGTGAGAGGTTGTTTGTGGCTGATTGTCCCGAATGACAATTAACATCAGCATAGTGAAATGTAAAAACAGAAAGCAGATATAAAAAATAAGGTGCAGTAAAGAATTGATCACCTGAAAGCCATGCCCTTTTGTAATTCCAGTGACATCGACATACTGGCCTGGAACAAAATGGCGAACATCAATGGAAGTTCCAACTGGGAGAAGAGCATCCTCAGTCACTGGGAACTCCCTCAGCTTCCTTTTCATGGGGACACCTTGAGCTCTAAAATGTCCCACTTCAGGCTTCCTCAAATGCTTCTCCTTTTTTTGTCCACACCCGACCTAGCTACCGAACAGTAAATCTATAAAATAATAAAAAGAAAAAAGAAAAAAATTTGATGTAATTGGGTGGTAGTAGTTTAAGGGACCTGAAGCGCACAGAAGCCTTCCTTTTCAGGGATCTTGACTTGGGAGACGATGTTATCATCCAACCAAAGAATGGTGATGGGTATTCTGGCGCCCCACTTATCCCACAACGCCGTCATTCCACACTTAACGGCGATAGCACCGCTACGCTTGGAATCGCGGGTCATAACACCAGGCTTGGCTTCAATAACTCGGGAATCGTCTTCCTTTTCAGCCTCCGCACAGAACATTCTCAAGTGGGAGGTATTGTATAGAGCTGCCGGAGAAGGAGAAGGAGAGAGAGACCTCAAGAGAAACTGGTTGAGACGACGAACGAGACCTCTCGACGCGGCGGCCATGCCGTTGGCCGGTGGGCTATGCCGTTGGCCGGTGGGCTAGATTATAATTTTGCGATTTGGGGGTTTGATTTTGGCAGTGACAATGAGAGTGAGAGGGAGGTGACCATAGGGTTTTAGGGCTGGGTAATGTTACTCTACTTCACACCCTCGTTTGCTCTGCGTGAAACCCACTTGTTATTTTCTCTCTGATAATCTTTTTTAGTTTTACTTTTTCCTCTACTCACATTACACATACACGTGTTAATTATATATATTAGGTCAGCAATAAAATTTCCAATTACAACTTACAAGCGTAGCTAGAATTAGTAAGTGTTGTAATATTTCATGAAATAATTCCAGAATCCTAATTCTGAAGAGGACAATTGGTTGAATATCATTCTATTATATGGTTGTGAAAACATATTATAGAGCTCACTTTTTCACTTGTATAAATATATATACTGATCGATAATCACAAAAAGTCTGAATTAGATGATATTGTTCATTAATTAATATTAGTAGGAGTAAATAGCACATATGTGTGCAAGTGGTAGCTAGCTAGCAAGTCCAACAAAGAGACGAAGAAAATCAATTATTTAGCGATCGAGTACATAAAACAACATGTGTATATATATGTCTACACACAAACACACACACCAGCTTAAATGACCATCTCTACTACGTTACATAGTACATATATATATATATAAAACATCCATCCATATGTAAACATAAGTAGGCCGGTGTCGATCGTAGTTTCACAGCTCCTCATCATGAGTGGTGGTTAAAACATCGTCTTTAATAAGCTTGGCTGCTTCAATGTTTTCGGATATGGTGTCTTTAGCGGAGTCGTAAGTTCGTGCAGCCTTATCCTTGGCAGCTTCATAACCTTGCTTGGCCCAGCTCATATGCTCTTGTGCTTTCTCCTCCGTCTTCTCCATCCCCGCCTTTGCCGCTTCCTTAGTGTCCGTTGCTTTATCAGCCGTCTTGTCATACGCTTCCTCTGCCTTTTCAGCCGTCTTCTTCTTTGCTTCCGATGCTTTCTCTTTTGCCTCTCCTGTTGCTTTCTTCACATCAACACTCTTTTCCGATACATATTCTCCACCTAATTAATAATATTTCACTTCATTAATTAATTATCATCAATAATATAATAGAAATGACTTATTTAGTATTATATATACCATACATAATACGTACCTGCAGCAGCTGCGTCGGTGACCTTGTCTTTGCTTTTCTTGGCAGCATCATCAACAATATTCTGATTATGGTCTTCTTTAAAGCCAAGACCCTCAGAGATCTTGTCCTTGGCCCATCCTGTCCAAGTTGTTGATTCATCCTCTCCATCGCCCTCTACTACTTTGGTTTCAGTGGTGGTTCCCCCCGCATTGCAACCATTAATTACATGAACGGCAATTAACATCATCACCAACCCCACACCCACACAATTCATTGAAATTGAAATTGAAATTACCCTTTTCATTCTCGTCGATCAATTATTGATTGAGATTAATTACAGCTGCAAATAAAAGACGGCCACTATCACAACTAACGCTGCTGCTATCAACAGGAACACCCACATATGTGGCATCTATATTATATGTATATGTATATTCTTGATTTAATTAGAGCTACCTCCGATCCTACGTCCTTATATATTATATTGTATCAGTAGTACTGGTTCATATATCAGATTAGTTTTGCAATCAAACTAGTATCTAGTATATATATCTATATATGTAGCGTGGCGGTGCCAGCCGCGGTGGTGATTAATTAATTAGTAATATTCTAGAGAGAGAGAGAGATATATATATATATCAGGACGAGTGGCATCATTGCACAATACGTGGCCAACATGCACTGTATTCACCTCCACGATATGATTCTCCTCCCAACCATCCTACCTAGTCTTATCAATACTCCCAAATATCAAAACAGTTTCCAATTAATTATAGTCGAGTTTGGCTGTTTTAGAAAATTCCTTGCATCAATTTTTTTTAACTCATATTATTAGCAAATTATTATTATAAATTATAATAAAAGAAATTTAAAATAAAAAAATTCCTGTAATTTATTTCTTTAATTATTTATATGAATTTATTACTTATTAATTGAATTTAAAAAAGACGCTCGCGAACCGGATCACGAACAACTAAAAATGAACTTGGGTTCGACTCAGAAAGCTCAAACTCAAAAAAATTGAGTTCGAGTTTTTTTCGCTCAACTCATTTACACCCTAGTTTCGCATGTACAGTTCAACCTCGATAAATTAATAACCACGCTTAAATAATAAAAATTTTTCAGTCCCGACTTAGTAAAATCGTGTTAAATTATTATCTCAATAATTTAATAATTCACTAAATTAATAAAATTTCCCTTACTCCCACATAAATATGGCTAAATCATGAGATATAGTCTATTTGCAAAAAATCCCTCATTTCTTGCAAAATTTATGTAATTTCTAAAAAATAGTGGATTTTTTTCTAATTGCACTTTACCTAAGGAAAGTGGTTGCAATTTATCCCATAAACATTTGTTATAAATAGCTGATTTAAGGAGGAAAAAAAGAAATAGAGCAAATATTTGTTACAATACTGCAAGTTCAAGTTGGCTTCGTTTATGGGCTCCCCCCTTAAGCTTCTGCCTGGGCCATCTCACTCCACAATAAGAGTAAATGAATATAAGAATACAATATTAATTTTTCGCTCAGAGTAACAAAGTTTCCTCTTTAATTGTTTACAATGATAATAGCATCCAAACCAATCAGCACAAGTGAATAAATGAAAATACGAAAAACCAAGAAAAATAAAAACAACAACAATTATATATATGCTTTACATAAAGTAGATACATATATGCACACATCTCAAGCACAAACCAGACTAGAACAACACAACAGGAATAAATGAAAATTGGTTTTGCATAGTGACCCCTTTTTACCTCAAAAGTATTGTGCAGGCTTTACATACAACAATCTCCTCGTCGTAGGAGCAGGTGGAGCCAGTCCAGGTATATCCCTTATGCTTTTATTGTTCGGATTCACAATCTAATCAGCACACACAAGTATCACACATCAGTTACCACAATAAAAGTAAACGGAGCAAATATTACAAATATGTACATCCGCTTGTAAAATTGAGATTGAAATACCTTCACGACGATTATTGCAACAACCCCGCATACAATCAGGAAAAGAAAAAGCATGATGCATTTATCAGTAGCCACCTGAAACACACACGAATAAAAAACAATAAAAAGCTTGATCAAGCAAAGAAGATAGTCAAGTGCACAAAATGACCCTCGCAAGTTTTTTTAATCATGTCACAAAAAGTTTCAAATGCCTCTTGGGTCTGAGAAAGCACATTGCAATATTAGATTTTTTGCATACAACAGTCAAAGACGAAATAGGTAGTATTTCCGACTCATTTACCTGTCTACCAATCTCCTTTACAAGCTGTGATGCCTTTTTAATGGAGAATTGTATTGTATCCAGTTCATTGACTATGCGACCCATTTGGTCAGTCTGTAGATATAAGTATAAGTATGTCAGTGATTAGACAACAAACACTTGAGATCAATCAAATTAGCATGCATAAAGTTGCACTCACTTGGCCTTTCAAAGTTGTAGCAGTTTCTGTTCCCACTTCAATAGTTTGGTGAACAACCTAAGAATTACACTGGGTTTAGAATACCATCGACACTTAACCAAACTTCGAAATGCACATAAATTTTATTTCTTACTTGTTTGGAACGTTCAATAGCTTGGTCAGTTTCATCCATTGTCTTCATTCCGGCATGAATAAGCTCCTGGTTTGACATTTCTATATTAATAGACGAAAATGGAAAGAATTGTCAGCTATAAAGGTCAGAAGAACCATCAATCTAAGAATTGGAACTCATGAAGACAGCAATAAATGCAGATTATAGTCCAATAGCATGACATCCACAGCATAATAAATTCAATGATGGAGATATCATGGTCGCGTCAGGCTAAATTGTAACAACAAAAGTTACAATTATAACCAGACACAACTATAGGCTAAAATCAGAGCTTCAATCAGAAATACAGGATTTACACAACTACAGGCTAAAATCGAAAGGAAGCCCTTGTCTTAATTAGGATATGTTGTGACACCCTTAGCTTCAAATAGACATTGTACGCACCCTCATGTCAACCATGTCGCATTATAATAGACATAGAAAAATGATGGGCCGTATTGGGACACTTTAGGTCAGCTCCCCATATATTCATATATAGAAGTTTATCATAAGGGAAAATGCAAGTGTCAATAAAGGTTTGTAGCTGCAAGCTGTTTACCACAATGGTTTCTGTAGTCTTCACTCGATCAGTAGAAGATCAAAGATTATTATGGATTACCCGGAATAATAACCCAGCTAATACAAAAGGCAAAAGGGCAGAAAAGCGGCAACCAATCAGGGGAAAAAAAGCTATTTACATACAAGTATTACAGCATAATAATGCCTTGACACTGCTCTTTCACATTTATTCATCAGATGTTGGAAATGAATAGAATTAAGAAAGACTTGTAATGCTACCTGATGCCACTTGAACATTCTCATCAGCTGTCGGCTCACTGGCACCAGCTCCCATATCAAAAAGTTCAACTCTCTTATTCCCAAGAGTGCTTATGTAGCTGCACCACAAAATGAGATAGAATAGTAAATAAGTAAAAACAAGGACGACACGAAATAGCTAGCATGCACTATCCAGAGACCCCCTCCCATTCTTAACTACTAGTGTTACCGGGAAGATATATCAGAAAAACCAAAAGGAATGCAATATCAACCAAAAAATTAATCGAGAATAAATACTTCAAGAAACTTACGTTTTCCTCAAGGCTACAAAGGAATTCAACTCCTTGATCTGCACAAATAAAAATCAGCAAATGCAGTTCCATGATCAAATATCATTATTATCTCCGCCTTTGCCTAAATATTATCTTTTGTTTCCCAAGAATTTAAACATTGAATATTACGAGTATTTCAGTCTGCAACTGTGGTTTGATGAGAGAAAAATATGCCCGGTTCGACGAAGGGAAAATAATATCCTCACTGATAAATGAAAGTGAGTCAGCATAAAAGTAATTTCAAGTTCTGAATGTGCTTACCATTGATTGCTTCTCATCATTAAGTTGCTTATTCACCTCCGTAGGATTTCTACTTTCCTCGTCTTTAATTTCACGATCAAATTCTTTAATCAATCTGGAATATTGGCGTGCAACCAATAATGAGTTTAACAGGCCCAAAGAAGAATATGTGAAAATTCAACATATATAAAAGCCACTTGCCCTTCCAAAAATAGCGTTCAAGCGTAATGTAAGAAACCTTTAAAAACTGCTAGTTAATGTACTTCAAAAGCAATATCTTCATACTTTTCCTTGATACATGCGACGGTTATAGCTCACCCCCTAAACTGTAGCCATTTTAATTATAGAGAGAAACCACGGCGCGAACTCACCTTTTACACTCCCTCATCTTGCCAGCAAGCTCCTCCAGCTGTTTACTTTGTCTATTCGAGTCTTTGATTTTGTCCAGCTTTTGGAAGCCATTACTGGTTAAAAGAACAGCCGTGATTAACTAAAAGAGATGCTATCACTAGAAGAAAAACACAGAGAGCTTCCAATTTGAAGAAGGAAAAACAATGAAATTAGCGTTGTTTTAGGTCGACATGCAGACCACAACGAATGAGAAAGAACAATGCCATTCATCAAAACACCGATGCACACCAAAATTCAACTGAAACACAAACATTTGCACAAGGACATTCAAAATAAATAGAGGATAAGCTAGAGAGAGAAAATACGCGAGGGCACGGATGGTGTCGCGGATTTCGCCATGGATCTGCTCCATTTGAGGGTTCATCTGCAACTCCTGAACAGGCATCTTTACCCCCCCTAGTTTCTGCCTATCTCGTATCTTTTTTTTTTTTGTATAAATATGTAAATAAAAGAAGAAACGAAATTTCAGGTCATCCCAACAAGCAGGGAAGAAAAGAAAGAATGGGCGATTGATCGATCGAATTCCCCCGCCCCGGAGGAATATTGAGGATTGAATTCAAAATTGGAGAGAGGTGAATGTGAAATTGAAGAGGGAATTAGAGATGGTTTAGGGTTGCAGAGAGAAGGGGGAAAGATTAGAGAGGGGATTCTATTTCTAATTTCTAATAATTAATAATTAATAATTAATTAATGGTCTGAATTCAAATAAATTAAAAGTTTTGCACCCAAGTAAGAATGAATAAAAATAATTAATAATTCATGATTAAACATAGATGAGGATGGCTGTCTGTCAGCCTGTCACACCTACTCTACTCTATAATATTAATATATACATAAAAAAAAAAAAAACATTTCATTCAAATAAAATGAAAAAACAAAAAAAAAAAAAAGGAGAGGGGTAGAAGAGGAAATACCCAACACAGGCTTTTGAAAAAGAAAAAAGCTTGATTGAGCCCACTTAATTAGCAGAGGTTGGGCCTGAATACGATGAAGATTAGTGAAATCTGTTAATGAAAATTCGAATGGGCCCCAACATTATCTTATCATGTATTAGCTGGATAAATACAGGTTTTGTAGCTAATTAAATTAATAATAATATGGTTTAATAAGGCCGAATAAGTTTGTTACTTTTTGTTTTTCCAGTCATAAAACCTTTCTTTGTTTCCTTGGCTCATGTACACAGAATGATTGAATTGTATTGTATATATATTATGGTTACAACTTTAAACATCAGCAGCAGCATCATAAGTAAGTTTCACGCACATAAAGCAATTATATAATATATATAAAAAATATTATGAAAATAAAAGGCAATTATATAATAGTAATACTAGTAGTAATTCCTGGTAAAATAAAAAAATGTATGTATTTTATTTAATTTCCATTTAGGCCCCTGAAAGAAACCTTTCGGCTGCAGATATTTGCAAGACGAAAATTACTAAGTGCAAGACCTTACTTCATGCAAGACCAAAATATAAATAAATTTACTAATATCAAGACTGGAAATTACAAATATAACCCCAATAATAATTTAGATATTATTAATTTAAATTAAGTTAATTGCTATTGCAAGACAAAAAAAAATACAAAAAAAAGAATAAAAAAAAAAAAGAAAAAAGAGAGGGAACTCACTCACCCAACAAAACACCAACATCTTCTTCTTCACCCTCATTTTACACATTTTTTTCCACAAAAAAATCTTCCATATTCTCCAAAACCATTATCACATAAAACCCTCAAATCTTACTAAAACTTGAAAAGAAGGACATTATGGATACACAAGACATAAATATGGAGGATTCTAAGGTCGAAGAACACAAAGAGGTAAGAAATATTGTACTTTGTGATCGTTTTTCTCGTTTTTCGCACCTCATTTCACGTACAAAAAAATCGACATGTACAGGTCGAAATATCAACTTTATATCGACACTGCAGTGTCGAAAATGTCAAAATAATTCGACACTCATTAACTGTCGAATTATATTGAAATTATCGACATTCTGGTGTCGATATTAAGCGGATATTTCGACGCTAGTGTGTCGAATTATCACTGTTACAATTGTGTGTCGAAAATTTTCCAAAAAAACGACAAGTACAGGTCGATTTTTGTAAAATCGCAACTCCTTCAACAATAGTGCTACAATCGAACCCTAGAATCATCAACTATGTTCTAAAACAACTTGATTCATTATTCTAACAATAAAATCATGTTTATCACATTTATTTCTCAAAAAAAAGTTAATTCAAAAAGTAATTTTTACTTGTTTTTCGTGAGATTGTTGCGGCGGGGTTGGGGCAACAACGGAGTTCAACGGCGACGGGCGACGGCGGTGGACTTCAACGGCGGCGACGACGACGGGGCGGCGGGCGACGGGCGGTTTTTTGCTGCAATTGATTTTTTTTGTTTTCTTCAATCTTCCCTCCTCGTTTTGATTTTGTCAATTCAATTTCTTTTTTCTTTTTGTTTTATTAATTTTTTTTTTAAATTGGTCTTGCAAAAGAAAATTCATAAAATAATTTTTTTTTGTTTGTATTTTATTAAGGTTATTATAGTCTTTTTATACTGAATTTAATAAAAAAAATTAAATTGGTCTTGCACTAAGTAAATTTCGTCTTGCAAATAGTCGCTGCCAAACCTTTCAGTTAGTACACCAAAACCGTGTCAAATATTTTTCTCTCTCTTCTGTTTCTTTTTTGTTTTTATTATTATTATAATTACCTCTAGATCGCCGGCGATGTTTACGTCAGACTGAACACGTCCTCACAAGAAGATCAAATCTAACCTCCTCTCTCTTCTGTCGGGCCAACTTCGTTCTTTTCTTATCTCTGCTCTTAGCTCTAGTATACGTATGTATACATGATCAAAAATTTACTCGGTTTAATTTTTTTATTTTTTTATTTTTTGTCGGAGAGTCGACGTTCTGCTCTGCAATGATGTGAATTAACATGTTTTTCGCATATGGGTTAATGAATCTTGTCTGATCCGTGGATGTGTCGGTGTATGTTTTTAGGATTACTTTTGGCCTGATTCTTCAGAAAAGCTATCTAAAAAAAAATATTTGAAAATGGAGAGTAAGATTGGTGGTGAAAAGATTCATAAGAGTATGGAATGGGATTCAAATGAATGGAGATGGGACGGTGCTTTACTTGTTGCTACTCCTCTCAATTCTGTGCCGTCGGATTGTAGGAGTAGACAGCTTGGATCAGATGAACTAGTGTTGTTGGGTGATGGGAATGGGAATGGGAGGGAGAAGAGGGACTTTGAGAAAAGAGCAAGGGGAGTTTTCGAGATGGAAGAAAATGAAAATGAAGATGTGGGATTACCTAATCTAAAGCTAGGTGGACAAGTGTACCCTATCGCCGAAATGGAAGGGAAGAGTGGGAAGAAGACCAAAGTTTCAAATGCGCTGCCTATGTCTAGTCCTTCTGTTTGTCAAGTAGAGGATTGCAGAGCTGATTTGAGCAATGCCAAAGATTATCACCGAAGGCATAAAGTATGTGATCTCCACTCCAAGTCTACCAGTGCTTTAGTGGGAGATGTTATGCAGAGGTTTTGTCAGCAGTGCAGCAGGTGGTCACTTATTCATCTTGATATATTCTTGTCAAAAAATTCCTAATGGTTTCCTAGTGGAATAATATTTTGTTTACAGGTTTCATGTTCTTCAAGAGTTTGATGAAGGGAAGAGGAGTTGTCGCAGGCGTCTGGCAGGCCACAACAAAAGGAGGAGAAAAACACATCCTGAGAATGATGAGCCGGGTAGTAATTACTTACTTATCAGTCTCCTAAGGATACTCTCCAATATACACTGTAAGTATTAGCCATCTTACGGGTTTTCTTTTCATTTTTTGAATCACTATGTTCTAATTAGCTGTAGGACATCGTTTGTTTACTGTCATTGTTTTTTTTTTTTTTTTTGGCATTTGGTGTTTACATTGTTGATATGTGCAATGTTGTCACGATACACGTGATGTCTGTATGAGCTCATTTTCCTATTGAAAGTTTTATTATGAAGGAAAGGTCACGTTTTTTAAGGATAGAGTTTCACTTTCAGCATTCCTAAAGCTTGAATCTCACTGCGGCCAAAATAATCTTGTTTAGTTAGAACTTAGAATGGTGCAAAAGCAAGTTGTTTTTGAGAAATATAGAAGCTGAATGATGAAGAAGGTTTATTTAATAGTCTTAAGTAAACATCTCCTTTTGTGCACTTTCCTCCAAATTTCTCCTTCTACATTCCTTGTTTTCTTGCTTTAGCTCTGTGCTTTTTATCGTGATTTAGGTTACGTACATTATATCTCATATTTATCAATTGCAGCGAACAGCTCTGATCAAATACAAGATCAGGACCTTGTGTCTCATCTGCTAAAAAACCTTGCACATCTCACCGGGACAAATCCTGCTGGAGTTTTACCTGTATCTCAGAATGTGGGGACTTCCTTAGGCACTGCTCTAAAGGTTCTAATATAGGTCATAAATTTCTAAATTTGTCTTTGAGTTTCTTATTTGTCTTCTAAAGATGTTTAATCTGCAGGGACTTAGTGCGCCTTCTGGGCCAGGTATGACCATACCTGCATCTGATTTGACAGAGAAGAGGACGCTAATAGGTGGAGTATCACATGCATCCACTTCAGAATCTCCTTTACCATTTCGAACAACATCAAGCGACTTATTCAAAGAAAAAGATTCAAATACTGGAGTAGGGAGGACAAAACTAAGTAACATTGACTTAAACTGTGCATATGATGGTTCTCAAGATTGCATGGAGGATATGCCCAATACTTCACATCTTAACAAAACGTCTCCTGGTGGATCATCGTGGTTATGTAAGGATTCTCAACGGTGTGGCCCACCTCAGAATAGTGGCAATTCAGCTTCTACATCTAGCCAGTCACCATCTACATCCAGCGGAGAGGCACAGGTTCAAACTCATTCCTCATGTAGCAAATCTAATCCTTGATAGAGATTGTCGGATAAAAGCATTTATACTTCAATTCTTGTTAGACTAGTCCTTTTGTTGTGACTAGATTTCCAATTGATTTGCAGAGTCGGACAGATAGAATTGTCTTCAAACTTTTTGGGAAAGATCCAAGCGATTTCCCTCTTCTCCTGCGAAAACAGGTATGGCTCCTGATTTTGAGATTAAACATTTTCCTTTTGGCTTTTCTTTTTGTGCATTGCCTCTTTAATAGTTTGTTTTTTGTCCAATTTGATTCAGATTCTTGATTGGCTATCAAATAGTCCAACGGACATAGAAAGCTACATCCGACCTGGTTGCATTATATTGACGATATATTTACATATGGAAAAATCCAGTTGGGATGAGGTGTGTTTGGTTCATCACATGAAATATGTTTTGTTACTAGACCGCTCTTTTCATACTCTCAGTTTCTTTTTCTTTTCTTTTTTTTGTTTCTTTTAAGTATATGATTCTTGATTATTGTGATTATTGTGTTTGCAGCTTTACTGCAATCTGACTTCAAGTTTGCTGAGGCTTCTCAATTCATCTACTGACTCGTTTTGGAGAACAGGATGGATATACACTCGAGTACACCATCATGTCACATTTATGTATAATGGTACATTCTATATTTCCTTTCCTTTCAACACCTCTCTCATAGAATTACTCCTTCACAAGCTGTAAGGCTGATAGTTTTTGTGATGCTGCAGGCCAGGTTGTTTTAGACACACCCTTACCTGTGCGAAATCATCAAAGTTGCAGAATATCAAGTATCAAGCCAATCGCTGTCACTGTTTCCGAGGGTGTTCATTTTGTAGTCAAAGGATTCAATTTGTCTCGTTCTACTTCAAGGTGAATATTCTTGTTTTGAAGACCATACATGCATCACTCTCTTGGTTTCATTCAGATTAATTCCATCAATATTGAGTAATAATAATAGCATTTCTGTCAGGTTACTATGCGCACTAGAAGGGAAGTATCTAGTGCAGGAAAATTGTGGTGATATGATAGGAAGAGCAGATTCGTTCATCGAGCATAATCAGATTCAGTCCTTGACCTTCTCTTGTGCTGTACCAAATATTGTTGGAAGGGGTTTTATAGAGGTGATGCCCATTTTCTACTTGTTTGTTTAGTAATTAGTACTAAATATTATCTTGTCATTCCTCACTCTCGAAGCACTGAATTTGTTATTAGATTGAAGACCATGGTCTGAGCAGCAGCTTCTTTCCGTTCATTGTGGCAGAGAAAGATGTCTGCTCTGAAATATGTACTCTAGAAAGCGTAATTGAAGATGCAAACGAGATACAAGTTAGGAATGAAGCATTGGACTTTATACACGAAATGGGGTGGCTTCTACAGAGAAATCGCCTCAAGTCTAGGTTAGGTGACGGGGATCTATTCCCATTTGAACGCTTCAGGCGGCTTACTGAGTTCTCCGTCGACCATGACTGGTGCGCTGTAGTAAAAAAGCTGTTGAGGATTCTGTTCGATGATGGGACTGTGGATTTGGGACCACAGAACTCGAATATAGTGGCACTGCTTAATGACGTTGGCCTTGTTCACCGAGCTGTGAGAAGGAAGTGCAGCTCCATGGTTCAATTTCTACTAAACGAAACGAATCCACTTGCGGATGACGGGGGTGGGGCCCACTTATACTTGTTCAGGCCGGATGCTGCGGGACCAGGTGGATTGACTCCCCTTCATATAGCAGCCAGTCTGGACGGATGTGAGAATGTATTGGATGCATTAACTGAAGATCCTGGATCCGTAAGCTGCTCTGTTTCTCTTATTCATAATCTTTTTTTTTTTTTTTATGTCCTAAGTAATGATTAAATTATTATTATTGAATATTTTTAAAGGTGGGAATTGAAGAATGGAAGAGGGGTAGAGACAGTAGTGGATTAACAGCGCATGACTATGCATGTATACGTGGGCAGTACTCGTACATAAATATTGTTCAGAGGAAAGTGGACAAGAAATCAGCAGTTGTTGGTGTTCATATCGGAGATAGTAGTAGTAGTAGAGGAGAAGTAGTATTATCGGTATCGGTGGAGAAGACAATGGAAATAGAGAGGAGAAGACGAAGGTGTGGGGAATGCGAAGAGAGAATAATGAGATATGGAAATAGGTCAACGAGAGGTAGAGTGAGAATATACAGACCGGCAATGCTTTCATTGGTAGGAATAGCTGCCGTATGTGTGTGCACTGCTTTGCTCTTCAAAAGCTCACCTGAGGTTCTCTTTTCTTTCCGCCCTTTCAGATGGGACCAATTGAAGTATGGCTCTCAGTAGTATTATGAATTAATTGTACATGTTTTGTTGGTTAACTGATGATGATATATAAATTAATTAGGGGATATGCTTTGTCTCCATGTATTATAACTTATTATTATAACTTTTTGTTTATTTTTATCTTATTGTTTCAATTAATAATTCATATATAGTTGAAGGGGTGTCGTCGAGTGATGTAATAAATATAAATTAGTAACAAGGAAAAGCAATGTATGAATCTTTTGTGTAGAACGTAAAGGTAAAGAAATACTAGATATAGACATAGTGTTTGATATTTTGTCAAACCACTGCTGAAATTTGATTTCTGAAATCTGCTTTACTCTAAAAAGAAAAAATATAATGGTATTAAAAAAGAGCATTCATTCATTATAAAGTGAAGCAAGCAAGCAAGGTTCAAAAGAAAACACATTTATAAGGTGGTGATATGATGATATTCATAAAGTCTCTCTTTTCCTTCCTTAATTATTATAGTTTCATAGGATGTAGCCTGCTAAAAAATCATTTCTAATAATTATTTAGTTGTTAGTTGTTACCATCAGTTATCCATTCTTGATCACATAGATCTTTTTATTCTTACATTAACTACGACTCCTTTATATCTTTCTCTCTATATAAACAAGTTCCCAAGCAAGACCTGTTAAACACATATCGATCCAAGTTCAACTTGAAAGATGGGGGGTAATAAGAGCGCACGATCCGTCTGTCTTGTTTGTTTCCTATGTTTTGCAGGATGGACCGTCTTTGCTGTTCAAGGGAAACAGGTACAATCGTCTATACATACATATATTGTTCTTCAACTCTGTTACTACAACTTGTACTGTTACAACTGTAGGTTCAACGACACCTTTTGGTCAACACCGCAGCAAATTTACTTGCAACTCATCATGATATACCAAATGAACACCACCACCACCACCACCACAACATAGGAGAAAGGTATGTAATAACATTTCTATCACTACATTCCAATTGTTGCCTTAACTTGATTCATTATTAATCATCATTCATGTTTATATTAAAATGCCGCAGCAACCAGAAGATAGGAGGAGGACCTCAGCAGCTTTCAAGAGGCAGAAGATCTAAACCCGCTATTCCCAACCAGGTAGGTATTATACGAATATATATATATATATAGTTTTCATGCAACCGGTAATTATTAATATATGATGATAATTTAATTGGAAAAAAAAAAGGGGAATGCGAATGGGAATGGTACGACGTGGTGCATAGCGAAGCCATCAACATCGCAAGAAAAGCTGGACGATATAATAGAATTCTGCTGCACACAAAAAGGAGTTGACTGTGGAGTGATCCAGGCAGGTGGAAACTGTTATCTTCCACCAAACAAGATATCTGATGCATCTGTTGTAATGAACATATTCTACAAACTCAATGGAAAACTAGGTTTCACCTGTGACTTTAATCGAACCGGTCTCATTGTTACTCAGGATCCTTGTAAGTCATCTCATATGATCTAATCTTTTTTGCACACACAAACACACAACCAAGTTTAATTTTTGTTAATAATGAAATGATTTCCTTTGAATGCAGCTGTTGGCAACTGCATTTACCCAGCCTGAATAAACCTGTTATGGAGGAGATAGATGGTTTATTAATAAAACAGCTCAGCTTATTCGATTATGTCTATCTTTTAGTATAGAAAATGGTGAATTAAAATCATTCCAGTGTATATATAGACAATGGAAATGTTAATTTGCTGTTCCATTTATTTTATTTCCATTTAAGTTATGTGTTTGCTATGATTATTGATTGCAAGCCAACATCTTATGATAATGGTGATTAAGGTTGAGGGTTGTCCCAGTTGAGAGGCTTATAATCAGGGTCATCCCTAGCTAGCAAAATGGCCATAAGCAGCAGTGTTGAAGAACCTTCGACCAGATCCTCTTAAGATCCAGGTTAATAGATAGATAGATCATACCAGGCCTGAAATCAAACTCCTTCTTCACTATCTTGAGAATCTCTCTGTCGGGTATTTTACCAGTACCGTACGTGTCCACAAACACAGACAGACAACGGCTCAGGCACACCAATAGCATGCATATGAAACCTGTACAATGCAACAATACTCTTTGCAGCCTGCAGCCTAACTATGTAGCACCAATATCCTCTGGTTTCTTGGTTAGATGACCATGGACGCCCTGGGCAATATCGGGGCTCTGCTGATGGATTTTTACAACCTAGCTAATTAATTATATACATTGCCCTAATTAATTAATTACAAGAAATAACCTAATTAATTATATGCATATATGCTCTAATTAATTGTCTTAACATTAAATCATATATAAATGTCAATTCATGTCCCAAACAATGCATGCATGCATGCATGGATATTATATACATGTACTCTGCATAATGAAATCATTTCATGCAGAAGCAGAGCAACATTACACTAATGTGTAGTTGATGTGGATTCAACCAATCAACTGATCGATTGAAAAAGTTCAAAAGGAAGGCGGCTATTATCCTTATCAACAGACACTAATCCCCCCCCCCCCCCTCTCTCTCTCCCCTTTGTTTTCTTTCTCTTGTATATACATGGTATTAAAGAGTGCCAAAAGTGAATGCACTTTTCTATATATCTCTATTTATATATAAAAAAAATAATAAAAAAAAAAAGGATACACAACAGTAGTTAGATATTTGTTAATTCTCAAAATCTAAAATATCTGACTGATGATGATAGATCATGTATACATATGCTAGTGGAAGGTACATATAAGGAGATCTCATTCTATTAAATAATATATAAGGAGATTCGTCTTCGTCACACTTCACTCACCATCAATTAATATTTTGATATATATATGATATATCATATGTGATATAATGCATGTAATTAGCAATATATATAATTAACTTGGAAATATATATAGGTAGAAAGCATGTTTAGGAGTATTAGTGGATCATCCAGGTGGTGGTGGTGGTGGTGGTGGTGGTTCATCATGTCGGGTACGTTAGCTTAGTACGTACATCGCCGTATATATATAATACTATAATTAGTGCTGCCCTGAATAATTTACAAAATATTTAATTAATTAATTAATCATATCATGTGGGATCCTTGTCTCTTTTTTCTTTTCTTTTCTTTTTGTAATAATAAAAAAATGCAGCATAAGTAGACTAGAGAGAGGAGATGAGATGAGTGGGGAGAATATATATACATGAACATGATTGCTTTTATCTATGGCGGTGTCATGAGTACCCACCATTATTAACTTGAACAGGGACAAGAGGGGAGCCCAGAACCCATTAACGTGCATGAATGCGTCCTATATACATATACATACATATATCTTGATCAGGTGTATGTATCTTATTATTATAAGTAGCTAGCTAGCTAGCTAATGTAATTACTGTTAGTACTTATAATCTAAATAACCTGGAGATGAATGATTAATGATTAATGGGGAGGGGGCCAGCCCATAAATATGACTACTTAGTGGGAATTATACTTTATGATGTCCCATAATAATGCACAAAAAGAAAAGAAAAGAAAAGAAACAAAGGAATATCTATATATATATACTGCTTCATCATCATCTTCAAAAGTTGTTTCCAGGCCTGTTGTTGTATGTATTGTATTGTATTGTATTGTATACATTCTTTATTATCAAATCAAAATCAAAATCAAAATCAAATCTACATTATATATTATTATTATCAGTGTCACAAATATCCTTAAACATGCACCCACCACCACCCCTTTCATTAATTTCTCTCTCGTGCATAGACTCCATAAATACAGGCTTCATAGACTCCGCACAAATACAGACCTGCAGAAAAGCTCCTTTATATAGATACATAGCTTTTGGAGTTAGTTGTTGCAGCTGCAGATTGTTAGTTTTGAGAGAGCTTATCTATCCATCAGAGTTGCATCCCATATATATCTATCTATCTATACAGCTTAACAAGTAAGCTAATACATACACACATATATCCACAGAGAGAGAGAGAGAGAGAGAGAGAGAGAGAGAGAGAGAGAGAGAGAGAGAGAGAGATGAGTAGTTCTAGTAATAGTAATAGTAATAGTAATAGTGCAGCAGCAGGGTCTCCACACCAATATCCCCAAGAAATTCAACTAAAGCTGTATCAGGCTTTTATATTTTCAATTCCAATTTTGTTCTCTATAATTCTTTTTCTTTTGTTCTATTTGTTCTACCTCAAGAGAAGATCATCATCATCATCACCCTCCCTTCTTCCACGCACTTCTATCAACAACTACCCTACCACCACCACCACCATCATCTCAACCGTAAGCACCCGCCACCCTAGCTACCATATTATTTTTATTTATATATATAACTACTTGATGATTGTGTGTTTTGTACTCATGAATGATGGTGTATGTATATAAATTCTTCCGTACGTGCAGAATAATAGTGATGCGGAATATATGAAAACTGAGCAGAAGAACAAGCTTTGCACAGTTTTGTTCGATGAGTACATGAAAACAAGGGATTCCTCGTAAGTTCTATCATTATATCATTCATTCATTCATTCCAAACTGGAAATTATACAAAGAAGCTAAGGTTGTTGATGGTTTAGTTTATGGTGGTTTGGAGGATCGGAGTAGGACATATGCTTAAAGCCCACTAACAAATGAAAAAGTCCCACTCATCTTCTGCAATCATTATCAACTACCTACTTGCATGCTCTATAGCCACTTTCACCCTTGAGTTTTTTTTAATTTTTTAATTTTTAAATTAAATTATTATCTAAAATGATGAGATGAGATGAGAATCTTTGTATATTGTCCACTCTTTAATTAGAGAAGATAGATAGAAAGATGCCTTTCTCTCCCATCCCATGTAAAAAAAGCAGAATAAAGGTAAAGTAGCATTCAGCAGCACTATTGCTAGCTAGCTAGTACATGATATGCATGCAGAAGAATTTGTTGTATATTATTCATGAATGTATAATTGAAGAATAATGAATGAATGGGGCATGCAGGTGCTGTGTGTGCTTGGGAGAATTCGAGGTGAAAGAAGAGTTGCTTCAAGTAGGAACATGCAACCATATATTCCACATCGACTGCATTCGACACTGGCTACATAACAATTCTACTTGTCCACTCTGTAGATCCCCTGTTTTTCTCTCTCCTAACTTCTTCACCTCCAAATCCCAACACCATCTCTCTCCTAATTCTAATTTGCTGCACCACACACTCACTACTACTCTTATTATTACAAATACAAGTACAACACCCTCCTCTCAGGCCTCATCAACTGCTGCTACTGCCGGAACCACCACCACCATTTGTTAAAGATTATTATCTCTACTCATTCATCTATCATGTACTTCACTACTTGTAATGAAATGCATCACTTTTTTTTAGCTAAAAAGAGAGAAAATGAGAGATATGCACCTTTTGTTTTCTTTTGTTACCATATATCTCCATCGTTTTTAGTTTCATTCTTTGCAAATTTAATCCCAGCGCCTCCTGTAATTGCTCCCTAATTCTTCATTTAACCATCTTACTTACCCAACACAGGTCTTACAATATCATACTTTTACTGTGTTTTTCTAACAAAATCAAACTTCACACCAATTTTTTTAATACAAGAGCCAAACAAGCATACGTATGATACATCATCAAGTGGAGTTATTTACGCATTTTATATTAAAAAAAAAAAAAAAAAAAAAATTAGGGGTGCTACGCAATTTGTGTAAAATGGAAGGGCCAATTTACAATTTTCCCATAATAAACAAACTCGAGTGAACAAGAAGAAGAAAAGGAAATCGATTTGAAGATGGAATAATAACAATAATCATAAATTGTTGAGATTAATACCTGTAAAAGATTAATCCGTCCGGCAATAATGACGGCAGCGAATAATACTCCGGCGAGCAGCAGCAGCAGCCAGGCCTACGGAGAAGCATGGTACTGGGACAATCGGTACACACACGATCCATCCACCTTCGATTGGTACCAAAAATACGCCTCCCTCTCCCCTCTCATCCGCCTCTACGCTCCTCGCCACCACCCTATTCTCGTCGTCGGCTGCGGCAACTCTGGTGCGTCTCCTTTTTTATACCCATTTTGACTTTCAGCTCTTCTTTTGCTATTTCTTTTAATCTTCCATCTCTTTTTGTCTTGATTCTAAGTGCATTATCATTGATTTGTTTCTTATTTTGAAGATTTATTCTCCAATCATCGTGATTGATTTGTTTCTTATTTTGTTTCTTATTATTTTTTTTTTTTTTTTTTTTTGTGTTGTAGACCTAGAGCATTGGGATTATTCGCTGTTTACCTGCTAAAAAATTCTCTCTCATTATGTTTGTACATTGTATGTCTGTTTTGCTATTCACTACACTAGAGCAAGTAGGAAACCTTTTTTTTTTCTTTTTCTTATTTGTCATAATATATTTTTCTTGAGTCGAAAAAACAATCACTGATAACAACCAACTCAAAGTACTGCATTGTTTGTTTCTGCAGCCTTTAGTGAAGGCATGGTTGAAGATGGATATGATGAAGTTGTGAATGTTGATATCTCCTCAGTGGTGATTGAAGCTATGCAAAACAAGTATTCTACTTGCCCGCACCTCAAATGTATCTTTCATCTCATTCTTTCTTTTTTTTTTTTTTTTTTTTTCTGAATTAATTACTATAGTTAGAACATGGTGGAGGATGAACGAAATTACCTCGAACAGTAGTAACTCCAACGAAAAGGCAAACAAAATTACTTAACTGTTGTCTAACACCTTATGAATTGCGTACTTCTGTCAATATTTCTTAATGTGTGAGCAGATATGATGATGGACGTACGAGATATGAGTGCCTTCGGCAGAGGGACCTTTGCTGCTGTTATAGATAAAGGTAGTGTTTTATCAATACCAAAATGTGTTTTCACTAAATATTACTTAGCACAGCAGTTTCTGAATATTCCTTTTTCCTACAGGGACACTCGATTCTCTTTTGGTAAGTTGTCTATATTACATTAGGTATTCCTTTCTAGCTAGGGCTTTATTGTTACTTAAGCTCAAGTATATCTCGCTTTTCTCGTGCAGTGTGGACACAACTCACGCGACAATGCAGCTAAGATGCTCGAGGAAGTGTGGAGGTACAAACTCAAAATCTCTAAGCTCATTTGTTTACTTCTCTTACTTGATGTTGTTTTACCCGTTTCACTCTTTCCCTAAGTTGAAGCAGTTGATGACAAACTATAGGGTCCTCAAGGATAAAGGAGTATATATTCTGGCAAGTTACCTCATTCTCATCCCTTCCCCAGCCCCCCCCCTTTTTTTTTTTTTTTTTTTTAACTATTCTATGGTGGCTGAGATCTTGGTTTCTTGTTTTATGCATATGCAATTTGCTTGTGTTTTTTCCCTGCCTCCTAACACAGGGGTTTCATATTTATAGATTACATATGGTTCACCAGTTTATCGACTATCATTATTGAAAGAATTGAACTGGACAACGAAGCTGCATGTGATAGGTTTGTTGGAATGTCACCATGCCCATATACTGCTTACAGGATTCTCATTCTCCTTGCTTTTCTTAAAAATAAAAAATAAAAATTGTCTATGGATTGAACTGCCGAAGATCTCTGTAACGTGATGAAATGCAGGTAAACATCAATCGGAAAATAGTTCAAATTGGAGCAGGGAGTTGACCGCTCCCGTCCCATTAGATGTGAATGGAAGCTTCTCGGAAGCTGTGGGAATGAACGCTGTTGTTCACTATATTTATGTATGCATAAAGGTTAGTTAGTTGTCTGTGTCTGTTTGGCCATTAGTAGTACACCTGAGCAGATACACTACTAAGCTTTTAAACGTGCAGGATGATTCTTCTGGGAAGAGTGAAGAAGCATAAGCCTGTAAGAGGAATGACGATGAGAGACTAGATTACTAGGATTATAAATTATTGATCATTGTGATTAATAAATAATCTGAGGATGAGAGTGATTATTGCTATTTAGCAATTTGAGCTGACCAAATACTTGGGAGGTTTGTGGAAGGTTGTTCTTCTGTTTGGCTGCAAATTAGCCTTTTTTTTCTTTATATGTGTGTATCCATTATAATTCTTGAATTGATTAAATTTCAGATGGACTACCAGATGTTCTTCTTCCTTTTTGAGAGAGATGAATTATCATAGATTCGGTGCTGGATTTTATTATTGAAATGGTTCGGTTATGCATTAAATCGTGGAAGCATTCCGCATGCTATAAATTTTGCAGACTCTATAGATTCATTCAGGGCTGAGAAAATCTTAAATTCTAGCCCACTCACTATATATTACACAATACTTGCACAGAATATACAAATACAGCAGAATAAGAAACTTATAAACACATTATTTTAGCACGTTCCAAAACGTAAAATAAATCAAGAAAAACCACATTCATTTTCAATCAATGAATGAATCTACTAACACTTAACATCATACCTAGTGATTATTGCCATCCATCAGAGAGTTTCCTGACTTTTACTGGAAGAGAATTTCCTAACCATCACAAATGGTTTTGATTAGGGCTTCTGTTTCCTGCCAAATGTTGTATAAACTTAATAACGTGATACGTAAGATTACAACATCAAAATGACCTTTTCAACCAGTACCTGAAATCACCTTTTAACTTTGTTCTCATCAGGGTAGGTGCCATCAGGCCTACGATACTGAGCAAGTTGATTATTAATTCTTGAAAGCGCCTTTTGTGAGTGGACCAACCGCTCCCCAAGATCGTAATCAAATGGCCTCACTGAGCTACTACCCGTTTGTGGTTGGTTACGTCGTTGGGCCTCCTTCATGCTGAATAGCCTTTTTACCATGCCATCTAGTTCCGCAACCCTCTTCTGTAGATTTGATTTGTCCATCTGTAAATATTTTAGCAGTTAATCTTAATATATATTATAAACCTTCAGCATATCATTCTGTTACGATACAATGTGTAACATATATATAAACCTTCAGCATATCATTCTGTGCAATCAACAATTGATCTCGCTCTCGTAATTGTTCCACAACAATCTGTGTACCGAGTTGATCTGCTTTGTTTCTTTTGATTTCTGAAATATATCTGCAGGAAAACATTATCAGCAATTCCCAGCTAATAATACCAAATAAACCTTGCAAGGTTTAACAAAGAACCACTAACCTGAGATAGCTCTGAAATACTAATCAATTACATTGACCAACAGGTGATATTTTACCTTATATTAGCATTAAGCATTCTTAGTGGAATATTTCAAGTTTAACTCCTGATTGATATAGAAAAGACAATGCATATTACCTATCTCTTTCTTCCAGTAAATCATCAATCTGACTCCTCAGGTAGCTAAGTTCTTGCTCCTAATCACGGAAAATATATTAAAGCCATGAAGCAAAACCAATGAAATCACAAAACAAATCCTGTAGAAGTATACCATTGCAACAAATTCTTGTCTATAATGTTGAGCCTCCTCAATTAACTTTTGAAGTTGATGTTGGTCGACTATATTCTACAACAAAACCACAAGGTTTTTTCGCATATTAGATTAGAAAGGGAAATCTGAACCAATATTTTTTTACGCAAGCCTAAACTTACAGCATAATTTGTGATATCCAATTTGACACTGAGTAAATCACGAATGACATCGTGTGTCATACTTTCAGTATTGGCCAGCCGAGTATTCAGCATACACACCTGAGGCATAGTGGATGGACATCTGCTCATTAGATGAAACTCATCACAACAAAAGGAAGTAATACATGGCATTGAAAATAAAAGTAAGATCATCGATACCAATAACAATAAACACGATTTCTTTGTAAATATAAGTAGCAGAACAGAAACGTTAGAAATAATAATATCCCCTCCCGACAAAAGAGATAAGCTGCATGATGGTGCTAGGCTGGCAGACTCACATGAAAACATGATGGTTGGAAAAGTTTATTTACCTCTTTATACCTACTGGCTGCCAGTGCCTCTAGCTCTTCTATATGAAGTCTAGCACTTGCTAATTCCTGATCTTTCTCTTGATTCATATGCTGGACCAGTCCAGAGATGCATCTAAATGGTGAACTCGAACCTCTTGTCCTTGCTGAGATTTTATCAACTTTTTCTACGGTTGATGTGGCAGATACATTTGATAGATCTGGTTTAACTTCGTGAAGCATTGCTTCCAGGGTCTTGTACTAATCATAAGACACAAAGTACGTGACAGTAAATGACGAAAGTTTGTTAATGAACAAGAACCAAATACCAAACAAAACAAATGCAGGTTTACATATCGGTGGATGAGATTGAACGCAACAAACTTTGTGATTTTTCAACTCCATCGACTTCTCTTTTTGTTTCCTTAGAGAAAACATTTCAGGCTTATCTTGAAAATTGGCATTCAGAGAATTTTGATAATATGAAATGGATTCTGAACTAATAAGGTATGTAAATTGACATAGTACTATCGTGAGTTTTTTATAGACACTTGTTTAGCTAAGTTTTTTTTTTTTAATAGTTTAAGTTCTAATGTTAACCAAAAATAGGTATGCTTGTGGTGTCTGTTCCCAACACATTCCATAAGAACAAGCATAGGGGCCGTGACTTTACCTTATGTTGATACTGGGATGCCTGTGCTTCAGCATGCAAAACAAGTTCAGAAATATAATCTTTGAATTGTCTGATCTGCAGTGTATGTCAAACAATTGGCATCAGCATACAAGAAAGAACACTATGACATTACCTAATTATAACCAATGCAACTAAACCTCCTTAGCTTGTCTCTTGTTCTCCTCTTCAAGAAATCTTATTCGGCTGCCAGCCTCATTAATTTCCAGGATTCTGGCATGGGATTTCCTGTAAATAAAATTTTTTTATGCCTGAAATAATTTTGAAAGTTATAAATAACATGTTCATACAAATAAATGATTCTTCTACCTGGAAAAATGATCTTCAAGTAGTGATGTACTTGAGGTCTCAGAAGCCATACTTTCAGTAAGGTCCTCAACAGTTAATAATCTGTGTCTAAGTGCTTGAAGTTCCACTTCCAATGAATCCCTTATCAACCTTTGTTTTTCTACCTCCTCTTCCATTTCATTCACCTAAAATATGAAAAAATTTAAGGCAAGTCTCAAGTAACAAACAAATAACAGAACAGCCATTATGAGAGTACAAGTTCATATAAGAGTTACCCTTCAGATTCAGAAGTGATAAAAGTTGCAGGTGGACAGCATAACAAGTAATGAAAATTCATCCATCTAGTAGTTCAATTGCAACTCATATTCAAATTAATTTTTAATTTTTTTTCATGAAATTAGAGTCCAAAATGGACTTACTTTCTTCTCCAGTACGTTTATGGTGCTCTCAAGCTCCTCAACAGAATGTTCCAAAATCTTGACCTCCTCTTCCTTTTGCTCAGCATACAGTTTCCTGGTCTCTGACTCCTGGAGATTTAAACTTGAGTTCCAAAGTAGAGTTGAAACTTTTTACAGAGTTAAATGCTTCCAGCTTAACATACCTGACGGGCTTCGGCAGCAATAGCTTGGTTCTCGTCTGCTAAAGCAGAAACCATATCAAGATTGTATTGCAAAGAGGTGAGCTTTTCGACAAGTTCATCTCTCTCTGAAGTGGACTCTGCTAAGGCAACCTCAGTATCTTCCACCGAATGAAATAGTCGTTTATCTGGTGATGAATCATCACGAATAACTTCTCTATCTAGACTTTTGATAACTTCTCTTTGATCTTCTATTAGCTGCTCCGCGTATGAGTTTTTCAGATAGAGATCTTTCAGAAGATCTTTCAACTCAACATTTTGCTCTGACAAAATATGTAATGCTCCTCTTGTCTGGTTTAATTCAGAGTTTGAGTTGGATAAGGCTTGCTCAGCTTCAAACAAGCGGCCTTCAAGTTTCTTGTTCTGAATGAGTGTATCATCATGTTGAGTTCTTTTGACCTGCAGTTCATGCTGAACTTTGTTCATAGCAACAATTAACTTATCAAGTTCATCCTTAATGTCCTTCCTGTGGGAAGCAAATTCTTGGAGCAAGCTGAAATCAAAAAGTAAACCTTTCAATAGAACATCTTTCCGTTCTAGCTCTCTCTTGAGTTCAGAGTTCTTATCCACAGTGTCACCATCCACCGGGTCCAACTCTTGAATTTCTTTCCTTGGAACACATGCAATCTGATATTCTTTCAGTTTCACAGGCTGAAGAGCTGAGTTAACATCTTGACTTTCATAACTTTGTTCAAGATTGTCTGCAACTAGTTCATTTGGCCTTCTGAATTTGTGCGAGTATTCTCCCATTTGGCACTGCAACACAAGTATGCTAATATCATTCTGCATTGCATTGCAGATTAATTCTTCCAAGGGAGATCTCAACCTACAGAAGAAAACTTGCAACTCCGCAACAACTTGAATGGCATCAGCACGTGCAGTCGCAAACAGTTGCTCCACATCTGTCCGAGTTGCAAGAAAACATTCTTCAACCAAAGACAATGTGTTAGTGTTTTCTCTCAAGCTAAATTGGATCTCATCATGTATTACTTCGTTCTCTCCATCTGTAGTTGCAAAAGCATTGGTGTGGAGTAATGGCAGATTTCCAGCAACAGTGAATCTAAGACCGCTTGTGGGACTATTAGATGTCCTATTTTCCACCAACATAGGAGTTTTACCTTGATTGTCAGTAATCTGATCCTTTTTGGAAATATCTTTATCTTCTCGAAACTCTTTCACTTCAGTTGAGTCATTTGTCGTTCTGGATAACTGGATATCTTCTGGCTGCTGAAATTCAGTCAGAGCAATTGCAGCACCCTTCAGGGAGTATAATTTCTGTTCCATTTGCATCACAGTGTTTTGTGCATTTTCCAAACTCTTTTGCAGTAATAGAATAGTTTCTTCTTTTCCAACTGATATTTTAGCAGCTTTCTCAACATGTTCACTAATCCAGTTATTAGTATTCGGAAACAAAGAGGAGATACTGCTTATTTCGCGAGAAGCATCAACCAGGGATCTAGAACCATTTATGAGGAATGTTGTTAGCTCCAAGGTTGCTCTTTCCCACCCTTCACAGAGCACTCTTATTTCTATCTCCTTAGCTGCCACAGTGTCTTTGAGAATTAAATTCTGTTCAGCCATAGAGCACAAGCTTACTTGAAATTCTGACTGAAGTCTATCTCTCTCTTCTTGTAGATGAATGGTTGTTCTTGTGGTTTCCATTCCAACTTCATCGCGGACTAATTCAGTTTGTTGATCTTGAGATATCAGTGTTGGATTATCTTCTACATATTCTCTGTTAAATATCTGTGCTTGCTTGAGATCCTTGGACAGTTTTTCCAATTTCGTTTGCAAATCAAAGATGCTAGTGCCTTCACTGCCTTCGGTACTCGAAGTTGGATCCTGCTTTCCTGAACCAGATAGTTTTATGTCAAAGTCCTCAAGTTTCCTCTGTACAACTTCTTCATTGTCCAGCATTTTCATTAAATGTTGATTTTTGGTCTGGACTGATTCTAGTTCTTCAATTAATTGAAACTGCTCTAGTTTCAAGGCTTCTGTCAAAGGTTGTGCATCCATCAGTTGTTTGTGGGCATTGTCACACTGCAAATTCAACATATATCCCACCTTCTCATTAGAAAGGTCATAAATATCTTACTAACCTAGTAGATTCCAACTCATCTGCAGAATCACTTTTAACACATTATAACTCTGCAAAGTAGCTAGAAAAGTGCATGTAACTTATCCTTACTGAGTGCAAAGGATCTTGATTAGAGTTCATTCTGATTATCAGTTTCCCCCGTAATTCATCAACTTCCCTGCAAAGCAAAATGTAGACAAAGGTGAAATGATGAGCTAATTCAAGCAACTAGGCGACCAATTTCATTAAGTGGATATGATAAATCCTAAACTAATGCACCAAATCCTTTGTACGTCATAAGGAGGACAAGCTAAACACCGTTAGGACCAAAGCCAAATAATACAACAGCTAATGAAAAAAGCAAACAAACAGAGCATTAACATAGTGATTGCTAAAACAATCGTAATTTTATTTCGATAATGCAACTAAAATGTTAAACTGAAATATGTTTAACGGATAAAACAAAAGGCATTAATAAAATTAGTTGACTAAACTAATCAACAAGGAAACAGTGAAAAAAGAGTATCAAAGCAGTCAAGATAAATGTGAGGCTTAAGAATACTGTAGCCTACACCTAGATGAGCTTGTCTGTCAAAATTGAGCAAGTAGATTCACCTGATTAATTTGGAATTCATATCTTTGCAGCATTGTAACTCATTTGCAACTTCAAGCTCCTTCAATTTCAGGGAAGATATAATAAGAAATTAAAGAACTTGAATTGTTTGGAACTTAATTAAACAAAACAGATAGTGCTACATTGTTAACCTGGTCTCCGCTCACTGGAGATAACTGATGGTGTGTAGAGCTTTCTTCGACGGCAACTGATTCCAAAAGCTTCATTAATGTGGACAATGCAATAAAATTGTCATCAACGGATAAATCTGTATTAAAATAATGATAAAATTCCAGCAAACCTGATTGCGCAGCTCTGATATTTCAGCAAGTAATGTTTCTCTTTCTCCTTTTTCATAGAAATCCTGAAACCTGCAAACATGGGAAGCAGGATGATTTAAAAGGTACAATCATATCCACCAAGAAGCATTCTAGATGTATTCATGATGATTACAGTCTAATTTGCTCGAGCAGTCTGATATTCTCCGATCCTAATCGAATGACTTCTGGATTTCTCTCAATTTTTGCTTGAAGCAACAGATTTTCCTCTCTTAAAGCATTGTTGTTATCCAGGTAAAATTTATCATCGGATACCAGTCCATCTATCAGTAATTCCAAGCAATTTATCTTTTCCTCACGGAATTTGAGAATCATTTTATCATGCTGAGTTTCTTCTTCTAGCTGGTGAGCCTGCAAAGGTTTTCACATTTATTTATCCAGAAACAGAAACACCATTACAGAACACTATAAACCAATTGAAGAATATGTGATATACCAAACACTTGAAATGTTCAATTTCTGTTTTCAGTCTTCTAACTTCTGTCTCAGCCAATTTCTCTCGTCGTAGGACACCGTGCAAGATAGCTTTGAAGCGTTTGTTCTGCATTAACAGTTTAGTTGAGAAATTCGTATAGCCTTGAATAATGAACAAATTTCATTTAGGATTAAACATTACCTTCTTACTTCTACCCTTTGGAATCTTATTCTCGTCATAGATATTAATTTTCTCGAATGGCTCGGGACTTTCAGAAAAGTTACCCAAGCTAGATTGTTCAGGTCTTGGAACGATATCTGTAAATTCCATTGACGTATGCTGGTGCTTCATCAGGAATGACAACTGATCCTGTTTAAAATGGATGTGTAAATGACAAGCTTGCAGGAGTCACGTTTGTATACTCGTGAATTAAGTTTCTACCTTTAATTGTTGGATTTGCAGCTGCAATGCAATTACACCCGTTGAAGCATCTTCATTTATTTTAGCCTGAAGAGACCAGGGTAATTAACCAAAAAAAAAGGGATTTCAAAGTTTCAATTTTCTACGGAAAACAACTTTGTAAAAAAATTTATACATTGTTCTGGATAAGCTTGGCACGTTGTGCAAACTTCAAAGTGCTCAAGGTCTCATTTGCAGAGCTGCAGAAGAAAATAAAAATATATAAGTCATTCTTTTGTTCAAAATAACCACTTGCATTATCGCTTCAAGGTTATCTTACCAAATAGATGAGCTGACATTTGCAATAATGGTCGTTTTGGAATTTCCACCAAGAGAATCCTGTATTCAAAAGGTGTACGTAACTACAGAGCCTTAATATACAAGTTCAATGAAAAGAAATTATCGAGTATGTACTACGTAAAATTGTAAGTTATAACAAAAATTTATATTTCTCTAACCTGAAGAAGAAATGTTAGCCTAGAGTCTCGGTAAGGTACGTGTCGGTGTTTCCCTTGCGCTACATCCACCAGAGACATAATTACGAGTCTAAAGGCACAAATGAGCAGAAGAGTTAAAGTCCATACCTAAAAGTGAAAAAAATAAGATAATAATAATAACAATAAAACTCAGTCAACTGTTGTGTCTTCGGGGTGTAATGATATCATAGATGGATACACAGAAATTTATGTATTATTAGAGACTGAGAGCATCAGCAGAAACCTAACGCAATATGAGATAAGAAAATATTACCCGAGAGTTGATAGAGACTTGTTAATATTTGCAGCTTCTTTCAAGCGGTCTCCTTCTGCCCCTGAGCTCTTCTGCCTATTATACATGAAATGTTATTCCAACATATTCTGTATCAAATTGGGATCAAATTGGGATGATTTTCCATAAGACCAGCTGTTACCTCTCAGAACCTGCTAGGTCAACTAAATTCAGTCTTCCAAACCTAAGGTGGGCCATAGAGTCTTTCTCCCAACGGCTTTCAATGACGCAAGTGAAGACACTATGTGACCGGCTGCTCTCGCTGTTCATATGAGTTGCAGCTATCTTCCTATTTGCAGCCCCCTATCCAAGATATTGTCAGACGAGGCAAGTTTCAACGAATGGAAGATTTTCAATCAAAGATATATAACTTCGTGAATCACCTGTTGCAAAAGTTGAAGCACGTCATTAACCGTTCTGACACTGTGCTCGGTGAGGTTTTCAACATATACACCTGACTTTGAGTCTTCTCTAAGCTGTACTTATCAGAAAGACAGAGTAGATGATTTGTTATAAAAAGGACAAAAGAAAAGTTTCAGTTGACCTCAGGATTGATCTGGATTATAGTTTATTTTAAATCAAGCAAACTTGTAATTACCAGAAGATTAGTTGATGAAGGTTCGAGAAGATCTGTTATATGCTCATTGTATATCTCCAGGAAAGAACATTTGCAGCTGTATATCAGTCTCTCTTGCTTCCTGCTCTCTTCTTCCTTAAAGATGGACAAGAATCAATGTGATACAGGCAAAACTCTAAGAGCAGCCGAACATGAAAAAAAAAAAATTTGTTTTATCAACCTTTGTGATCCTTGTGAATAGATACTCAAAAATGCGAGGAGTAATACCACAATCATCACTGAGCTTTCCATCCATTTTATCAATTTCACCCATCATTGTATACGTCTTTCCACTACCTGTCTGCAATAAGTTTATTCAAAATTTTGTAATCTGTTTCAAACAACAAGATCAATATACTCCAATAGCAAACTGCCTCAACAGCACCTACCTGTCCATAAGCAAACATGCAGCTATTATACCCAGACATGCAATTATCCACCATGGGCAGTCCAGCAACTCTGAAAAGGTTATCCTACACAAAAATCAAATCGACACAACAGCAGTTTCCTGAGTTACACAATGCATGATTATCCACGGTTTGAAACTAAATGTCCAAGTATTAAATCCAATTTAGTGAACAAATCATTACTGAATACATTATTTGCATCTCAGACCCAGTATTTAAATCCAATATAGTCAACGAATGGGCACCTGTGAAATACTTTCACAAGCTACGTGATCAAATGTGAATCTGGTTTCGGGGTGCCCTAGCCAAACCACCGTCTGTCCACTCTCTTGCCTCAGGCATCTCCCATGACCTTGGGAGATGAGTTCGCTATTATTTAATGGTCGAATTCGAATCAAAACCTGCATTTATTTAGGGAAAAAAATGAAAATCCAAATCATTCAACGAGAACCCATCTTTAAAAGATAAAAGAGAAATCAAATCAATGAATCAACCTGCACATTGCGGTCATTCCAAAAGGAGCGATCATCGTCAAGTTCGAAATGTGGAACATCAACTAATATTTGTTGGGGAATGACGACAGAAATCCCCCTAGAAACCCTAGGGAAAGGGCCTCCTCTTCCTCCGCCATTACGTAGCTGAGAAGGCAACCTCGTGAGAGTACTCCCAGATGCAACACCGATATTGGAAACTCTAGGCCCGCTTCTGATTGGTGTGGTTTGAGCTGAATTGGTTTCCGAAATAGTTAGTTTACCTCTACCACAAAACTTTGGAGTTTTCAGAAGTAGGTGGGTTTCTACAATTCCGTCGGATTTTTTAGTAGCAGAAGCTATAGATGGGTCGTGAGATTGATGCAAATGGTACTGGGACGGGTCGGGTATAGAATTGAGCGGAGCTCTTGATGGGACAGATGGAATATGATTGGAAGAAGTGTCGAAATCATTCTCGTTTGGAATGGATTGGAATGTCTTTCGATGATTTGAGTCACTGGACATAGTATGAGGGAGTAAAAATGGAGGAGGAGATTTAATGGAAGTTTGTGAAAAGGGGGAATTAGTACTGAACTTTGAAACATGCGAAAAGGGAGGGTTGAACAATTGACGATGACGATGATCAGTCTCGTTGAATCGCAGATGCTTTCAGGGGAAATGGGGAATTGTGGAAGAGAAAGTGATAATGAAGAAAAGAAAAGGCTGAGCTTGAAAGCTGTGAATCGAAATGAAGGATAATAAAAGAAGCCCGCTTTAAATTCAAATTTCAATTAGGGATTGAATTAATTGCTTTGAAGCTGCCCCTGGACTTTCTATATTTTCTATATGACCCCCCCCCCCCCCATTTCCTTTTCTTTTCTTCTTTTTTTCCTTTTTTCATATTTGTATGTATAATGAAGAAATATAATAATGACATATATAGAAAATGTGTTTATCCGTTGGCAAAGAAAAACAAGAATAGTTCTAAACTTGGGGGAATTGAATTTCAAATCTAGTAGTAGGGCCCCACAAATAAATAAATAAAAGGCCCAAGGCCCAGTTTATTTTTTTGCAACAAATAAAAGGCCCACTGTGCAAATATAATAATCGTGAAAATGACGGGCCCACTAAAGTAGGATTTTTGATCGACAAACGCATAGTTATTATTATTATTATTATTATTATTATTATTATTATTATTATTATTATTATTATTAGGCTGCACCTATTTGCAATCTCAAAATTTCTAAGCGCAAGACCTTACTTCATGCAAGATCAAAATATAAATAAATTTACTAAGAGCAAGACTGGAAATTACAAATATGACCCCAATATTAATTCGGATATTATTAATTCAAAAAATGCCTAATTGCTATTGCAAGACCAAAGAAATAAAAATGAAAAATGACCATTCTTCTTCACCAACAAAACCCAACCTCCTCTTCTTCACAAAAAAACTCTTTCATTCTCCAAAAATCATCATCAAACAAAACCCTCAAATCTTACTAAAACTTGAAAAGAACGACATTATGGACACACGAAACATTAATATGGATGATTCTAAGGTCGAAGAACACAATAAGATAAGAAATGTTGTACTTTATTTAGCTTTGTGATCGTTTTTCGTCTTTCGAAAATAATTTCGCATACACAAAAATTCGACGTTTACAGGTAAACGACATTACAACGTCGGTCGATATTTAGCAATAAAAACGACATTACAACGTCGATTTTCTCAGTTTCTGAAAAATCGACACGACACCAGCATGTCGTTTGCAAATTTTGAACAAAATATCGACACACAAATGTCAAAAAAAATGCAAATAATCGACAACAACTTATTGTCGAAATTTAGTGACACCAATGTGTCGAAATTTTACAAAAAAATCGACAATTACAGGTCGATATTTTTAAAACCACAATTCCTTCAACAATGGTGGTGGAATCTAACCCTAAAATCATACCCTATGTTCTAAATGGACTTGTGATGACTGTCGACTGCAACGACGACGGCGGTGGTCGACTTCATGCCGACGCGGCGAATCTGCAAATAGTTCTCTTCTTCCCTTTCTTCAATTGTGTTGGGTTTGTTTTTTCTTTTTTTTTCTTCTTTTACTTTTTTTTTTTTATTTAGTTTTGCAAGAGTGATTGGTGTAATTATATTTTATTTTATTTATATTTTACTAAGGTCATTATAGTCTTTTCATACTTAATTTGGTATAAACTTTTATTTGATCTTGCTCTAAGTAAATTTTAGATTGCATATAATCGCTGCCTTATTATTATTATTATTATTATTATTAATTATAAAAAAAACGAGTGAGTGAGTGACACTAGAAAGTTTAATAATTATACAAAGTAATTAACAGTAATAACACAATAAACATAGTTAGTGATAATTAGTTGACATTGGTGAAGCGGAGGTAGTCCTTTTGAGAGGGAAGATGAGCAGTGTTGTAACCCTGAGGGAACATCTGTTTAGCCTCTTCACTAGACACGCTGGGGGATATAACCACCGGCTCACCCGGTTTCCAGTTTGCCGGAGTAGCAATCTTGTGCTGAGACTCGGACGCCCTCTGTAGAGAATCGAGGACCCGCAGCACCTCGTCCATGTTGCGGCCAGTGGTAGCAGGGTAAAGAAAGCTCAACTTAATCTTCTTGTCACGGCCGTCGACGATGTGAAGAGCGCGTGAGGGGACTTGGTTGCCGGAGGAGTCCTTCTCGTCAGGGTCGAGCATGTTCAACTGTTTGATGAAATGCCTGTGAGGGTCGGCAGCAATTGGGTAAGTGACCTTGTGGCCGCCGTTGTGTGCTTCGATGTCCTTGATCCACTGGTTGTGGGAGTCAACGTCATCGGCGGAAAAACCCAAAAGCTGGACGCCTCTCTCGGCAAACTTGTCGGCGTAAGCAGCCATCATACCCAGCTCAGTCGTGCAAACAGGAGTGAAATCACCTGCAATCGATCAATATTCGATGGATAATAATATATTAATAGTAGGATCGGAAATCGATGGATGGATGGAGTGATCGTATTCGTAGGTAGGTACCGACCGGGATGAGAGAAGATGATGGTGAAATCAGATTGGTCGACATAATCGTGGAGTCTGATGTTGCCGTGGGTGGTTTCAACTTCGAGGTCTGGGAGTGTGTCTCCGATGGTAAGCCCTGGCATTTTCTTTCTTTTTGCAGCTATTTTAATTTATTAATAATAATATTGATGATCAGGAATATACCTATATATATATTGAGAGATAGAGGGAGAAGGGGATGTGCATGAACAAAACGTGGCAGTTGCATGCACACCAGATACCCTCTTTTGCTTCCACGTTTTTTTTTTATATATATATTAATAAAATAAATATGATCTCATCAAACGTATATATATGCATATGGGAGTAGTTATTGTCATCACCGGCTGCCCTATATATATATTTTCACTATTACTCTATATAATAATATCACTTATATATTGCCAATCCAAAATATTACTAATTCTCATTTATAAAGATGGCGTTCCCAATATTTTTATTAATATATATAGCCAAAATATCATATATAGACATTATTATTAATTATATGAATTATGATCTATGATGGACTAGATTGTATTAATCATACATATATATATATATATATAGACCTTAATAATTAATTAGAACATGCATGTTTTGCTGTTTCAAATAAAAATGCACATATATATATGCAATAAGGTTTAATTAATTAATTAATTCCGGCAGAAATTTGACATTACTCCGTTAAATTATCCTAAACGTACGTACATTTGTGTTCCTGTTTGACTTGGTATTAATTATTGATTAATATGAGTTTGAACTGAAATTAAGGACCTTAATTATCTCTGCGTAATTAACCCGTCCATCCATCCATATAACCAAAATTAGAAGGCCGGAGATGCATGCGGCTCTATATATACTTGTGTACTATCTGGACTGGAAATTCAGTTTTTAATGAATAATATATATTTATTATCTTCTGGAATACATTCTTTGGAAGACAAATAATATAATTAATAAAACTTACAGGGAACTTCATTCCAGAATCATAATTAATATTAATATTTATTCAGACCCACCTCTATGTATGTACGTGCATAATCATAATTTATAAGGTACCTACCTATCTATACTTCATTATATGTATTCTTTCTCCTTTGCTTTTACTCATAATTATTAATGATTGATCATCGTTCTTCTTATGGTTTTTTTTTTTTTTTTTTTGCAGATACTGCACATACTGTATATATATATACATACATATATTAATGTATAAGGATTCCTGTTTCTCTTCTGTGTAATTAATTAATCAATTAATTAAAAAAAGAAATAAGGCCTAGAAGCGCATCGATCTCTATACATACATACACATAAATATATAAAAATATATATATACACAACGTAAGGTAAGCATGGTTGAGGGAGGAATTGCACAGGCAGATAAGACCGAGTTCACGGAATGCTGGAGAACGTCATGGAAAACACCTTACATTATGAGGCTTGCTTTATCGGCCGGCCTCGGTGGTCTTCTCTTCGGATACGACACAGGTGTCATCTCCGGCGCACTTCTGTACATACGTGAGGATTTCAAGCAGGTAGATAGGCAGACATGGCTACAGGAAACCATCGTCAGTATGGCCGTCGCGGGCGCCATCGTCGGCGCTGCAGTCGGAGGATGGATCAACGACAGGTTCGGAAGAAAAGTTTCTATATTGATTGCGGACGTGCTCTTCTTCGTCGGCGCCATCGTTATGGCACTTGCTCCGGCCCCATGGGTAATCATCATTGGGAGGATATTCGTGGGACTGGGTGTCGGGATGGCTTCGATGACATCCCCTCTATACATATCGGAAGCATCTCCTCATAGAATCAGAGGCGCACTCGTCAGCACAAACGGACTTCTCATCACCGGCGGCCAGTTCTTTTCATATCTCATCAATCTAGCTTTCACCCACGTATGCATGCATGCATATATGTGTATATCTTAGCTTATATATATATATATGATCCTTTTTAATTATTTTTTACAAAATTAAATAATTAAATAGGTACCCGGAACATGGCGGTGGATGCTCGGAGTAGCTGGTATTCCTGCCATCATTCAGTTTGTTTTAATGCTATCACTCCCAGAATCTCCAAGATGGCTTTTCAGAAATGTAACTACCTTATACCTACCTACTATGCTCATATACCAATTAATTAATTACATATTATGGCAAAAAAAATGATTAATTGCATGCATATTATATTGTACTAATAGGGCAAGGAAGAAGAGGCAAAGGCCATATTGGAGAAAATTTACCCAGCAGAAGAAGTTGAGCACGAGATTCAAGCCCTTCAAACATCCATCAAGCAAGAGAAAGAGGAGCAAGTCGGAGAAGGTGGCATGTTCGGCCAATTAAAAAGTGCATGGAAAAACGACGTTGTCCGAAGAGGACTCTATGCCGGCATTACAGTCCAGGTGGCACAGCAGTTTGTCGGCATAAACACCGTCATGTACTACAGCCCTACAATCATCCAATTTGCAGGTTTCGCATCAAACAAGACAGCTATGGCACTCTCTCTCATCACTTCTGGACTCAACGCGGTTGGCTCGATAGTCAGCATGTGCTTCGTCGACAGATACGGTAGAAGAAGGCTCATGATCATCTCCATGATAGGAATCATCACTTGCCTGATCGTATTATCCGGAGTCTTCTACCAAGCCTCGGCCAACGCCCCCAAAATCAGCCCATCCGAGAGCGCTTTCTTCGGTGCAAACTCTACTTGCACTGCTTACACAACTGCACCCGACGCATCTTCTTGGAGCTGCATGAAATGCCTTTCCAAAGACGTTGATTGTGGTTACTGCTCTGCAGGAGCCAGCTTGGTAAGAACCATATATATATATATTTTACATGTACTTGTCATGATCAATCAATCAATCACTAAAATTGTCCATTACTCATTTGTTGTTGTTGTTGTTGTTGTTTAGTACCACCCTGGGGCGTGTTTGGTGATGACAGACGAAGTAAAAGGGGCGTGCAAAGCGTCGAAAAGAACATGGTACTCAGAAGGGTGTCCGAGCAAGATAGGATTCTTGGCAGTGATATTGTTGGGATTGTACATCATAGTATACTCACCAGGAATGGGAACAGTCCCCTGGATTGTGAACTCGGAGATTTATCCGCTCAAATACAGAGGGATTGGTGGAGGTATAGCTGCAGTTTCTAACTGGAGTTCAAATCTTGTAGTGAGTGAGACTTTCTTAACGCTGACGGAGCATCTAGGGTCCGCCGGCACTTTCTTGTTGTTTGCAGGGTTTTCTTTCGTAGGACTTGTCTCCATTTTCTTCCTCGTTCCGGAAACCAAAGGTCTCCAGTTCGAGGAGGTTGAGAAGATGTTGCAGAAAGGCTACTCTCCATTTAACAAGACTGACAATAATAAAGATGATGATCATCATCATCATCAGAACAAATAATAATCATTAATCATCATTAATAAAGGGATTAATTCAGCTATATATTATATAGCTAGGTTTACATAATTGTTTCCCCATTCATCATCTCATGTTTTGTTTATGGTAATTACTCAGTCATTTTGCACACTTGTAATTATTTTATATTAATTAATATTAATAAAACAGGCTATCTATATATTTGTTTGAAGCAGCTTCTAATTGTGTTTTAAGTTATATTATTATTATTATACATTCCATGAGAGGCATAGCTTCCACATATGTAATAAGAAGAATTATATGTAATAAGATTATATACTGTGAGCTAGGGCAGTAAAGTAATTAAAGAGACAAGATTGAAAGAATTTATAAGTTTGATCAAAGTTCAATGGCAGTCCACTTTAGAGATACTCATTTCCTTGAAGGTTAAATACAAAAATCTCTTTCTTAGGTTTGTTTAAAATCTCAATAAATTATATTTATATTGGCTTAATTTATGTTACATTGTAAAGGCTTGATAAACTATCTATGCATATGTTGGTCGTGTATGATTAAACAATTGAATAATCTCATCTGACATCCTCTTGTTACATTAAAAAAATACATTCGATTGGTTTAATGCGCCAACATAATTATGAACTATTTGAGTCTCTCAAAAGTATTTTGCCTGGATTTCAGAGGAGCCAAACTTCGAAAAATTTGAAAAAATACATTCTCTACAAATAATAATAATATTAGTACCAAAAAAACAAAAACAAAAGGGACTGTTTGATCGTGGTCATAAAATCATCTATCTGTCTCCCTCCATTGTAGACCTTACACGTTGTACAACTCTCACAAACTCCGCAAACATAGAAAAATCCAATCCAGACAAGTTATCACTATCGGCAGCCGAATACGGGTTCTGACACACCACAAGATCGAATCCTTTGAACTTCTTCATCAAATCTTCAAGTTTGCGACTGGATAACTTGTTGATGTCCTCTATCTGGATCAACTCTCCGCTCTGCCCACTACTCTCCCACCACTTCTTCAGAATTTTGCGTTTCACCTCACAAGTTTCAACAGAAACCACACCCTTCAAAACAATGCCAAGTCGGTGGAGAGCGATTTCGACTCCACCTATACCACTAAAAAACGACAAAATAACCACTCCTCCAGGTACTAAACGCCTCATAACTGAAAGATGGTACCCTAAAGTGTCCGTCTGAAATGAGTGCTTAAGTGATCCAAGTCGCTCGGGCACGCCAAATCCAGCAACTTGACTGTGTTGGAACGGATAACCCATTATTCGCTCTAAATGTTCGGGTTCTAGTCGACCCAACTTATATTTGCCTACCCAAATCAAATTTTTCTCCCGACATTGTTGGAGAATCTGTCTACGTTGTTCAGCCGATGGAAGCCCATTACAATCAGCCAAAATTCTTCCAAGCCTGTCACATAGAAGGGGTACTCCGCTCGTTTCACAACTGATGTAGCTTAGTTGCTTCCTGTCATCCCATGATGGCCACCATTTTCTTGAATGTGGTATAGCTTCCTCGATAGTCATTGGCCCCTTTGGATGAATGTGAAATCTATCTTCAATGGGGAGGTTATGTATATAGCCTTCCTTTCTGCTCAATGCGGAGTATAATTGAGTATTTGCAAATTCGGGTTGTGAGGAATACAGAAACTGGGAAATTCTGGCCCAAGAGTCTTGAGATAAGCTAGTCACATTTCCGTAAAAGAAATACGGAGGTTTAGCTACTACACTAGTAAGACTCTTGCAAGGATTGGGCATGGACATGGTGGGGTTTCTATCTTCTAGAATCCCCAAAACCCGTCTTCGCGAGGCTGCTACTCGATTATTTGTCGAACTGGAGATCCCTCTTCTTGCTTCTAGCCACATCCTACCCTCGGAATTGCTCGTGTCTTCCATAAATTCTTCTTTTGGTTTCAGCCAGTTGTTTGGCTCATCATCAGTATGTTCTTCTTTTGGCCTCTTGCCTTTCAATCTCTCAAGCAAGTCTGGTTCAGGTACAATATCTGAACTGTATTCCTCGGTTTTTATCAATACCGAGCTAAGAGGCTGCTGATTCATTAGAAAATCTCCTGTTGTCTTTCTTTTCAGTGATCGGCAATTAACTTGGACACTTTGCTTGCTCAAAGGTGAAGAGTACTGCAAAATACAATTTTTAAAAATATATGAACAATCCGTAAAAACAGTGGTGTTTTTATGTGAAAGTGGCTAGAAAAGCTTATTAGTAGTGACATAGACCTTATGAGCATCCGGTTCAGCACCACCTGTAATAATTGATTCGGCAAGATCTGTCAGAAGTGCTTCTGAACCTGAAATACAAGAACATGAAATAGAATGTCAAAAGAGAGGGTACAAATTTACCAACTCATAGAACATAAAATGTAAGTGGTTACAAGAATTTAATGATATTTAGCTCACCACATCTCTCAAAAACAGCTGAAATTTGATTTTCAGTAAAACCCATTTCGAGCAATCGGAGCGTCTTGTCCATAATACCAAATAAGGCCTCATTGTTGCAGTTCTGAACATTAGCAGTTGAATTTAGGCATGAATGGAAAACATTATAAAACATAATAAGCGAATAGAATAGTGTAAAAGATTCATCCATCTTTATTTAGTTTTCAAGTTTTTCCAGGTTAACCAAAAAGTGCACCTCTAAACAGTCTCCTTAAAAATCCCCATCCAATAAGATACTTGCATACGAATAAATATGAGAACTAAAAGCTTATTCAGGCCGTGATGACTGTAGCCTCCCCGATATGTGTTCACCCTATATAGGTACTGACTTGTCTAAAAAGCTTGCTCCTATCATTTGCCCAGACAAATCAAACAGGCTTATGTATTTCAAATTGAACCTTGTACCTATTTATGTACAACCATCCATCTTGTTAGTCAAGAAAGGACATTATCAAGTAAGGTTTTCTTTGTTTATCACGTGTAAACCAATACCGGAGATCTGGTCTGACAAATCAAGTTCAAAGATGAAGAACTTGGGGCATAAGTTCCGAAACTGGCTATAAGGAGTTCTCAAACTGCCAATCTCTAAGGATTGCGTAATTACAATTTAGAGCTGTTATGTAGATCATAATAGATGGACAGACCAATATAACTGTTCCAGCATGAAGATGTATCCAGACCATCAAAATTCATCAAATCAACCTAAATATAACCCACAGAAGAAGTTATTGAAGAACTTTATACTTACGTCATCTCCAGGAAATGGATTATTTGCATCTTTTTCATACTTTTTGGCCATCCTTGCAGCAAAAATGAAGTTCACTAATTCATCAATAGAAGCATGTTTTCCTGTAATGCAATATCAAAATTAAGTTTACGTAACAGCATGGGAAAAAACTATAGTTACTCGTCGCACAAATAAACTAGTACCAAATCCTGAGAAACACAACCTAACAGAACTCAATAATAGGAGTGGCTAAGTATTTTAAAGGACACTTGGTCAGTTGGCCAACAAAATGGTAAGGCCTTGCCTTAAATCATTATGTTTGAAGCCAACCTACTCATGAAAACATCAAAGTTATGAAAGCAATGATGATTTTTAACAGGTTTCAAGATACAAACACAACCCACTCTAGAAAAATCAACCAATCAAGAATACAAAATTTTGAATAAATGATTATGTAGAGCAAGTTTAAGGTCAGCCAACAGCGTTAAGTACGTGCCCCTTTTCAAAAACTTGTGATCATACAGACGGGTCAAGTGGACATTTCACTATGTGTCATTAGGAGTGAAAGAAAAGAAACATTTTTCCCATAATTCAGAAACTGAAATCCAGAGTTCAGATATATTTCACGAACCAAGTCTATCCATAGCAAAACGGACTTCATCCAAAGAGAAATTCATTCTTAACAACGACGCCATTTTTTCCTCACTAACTCCACTGCCAATACCGGGTTCCTGTAAGATCCATCATTGCACCAACATAAGAACATTAGAATATCATGAGTGAAAATACTTGAAGGCAATGTGAAAACATTAAATTGCATTTTCAAAAGACAAATAAACATCGCTTTAATAGTGTTCAAAGATCATAGAGACATTTTTCTGAAGAAGTAAAATATTAACTTGACTACAACAGAGAATATTGCTATTGCATTCCATTAAATGGCATCAAATACTAAGAAATTGAGTCGCCATCAGTCCATTTGCCGTACAAAAAAATCAAAGCTTAAGCTGAATGGTATGCGGAGAGCTGACAAGTATGAGTGACACAATCAGTAGGTGAGGATCATCAGGACAAGCAACAGACTGAGTACTCTTCAAATTGAAATACTTTGCATAAATGCTACATGGTTAATGATTCTGCAAATATAGTTACGGTCTAAGATGTGAAAAGTGTCAATATAATTTACATCCTTCTTAGAAAGTAAAGACTAGGAGAAACTACATAACCTTGCCCAATACTGCAGCTGACAATTAGTTTAACCAATAGACATATTTATGTCACAATAAAGGAAATGGGTAAACTGCTTTCATAGGAGCAGGAAATTAAGGTTGCGACAACATCAGTCCATTAAAACAGAACTTTTTAAAGAAAATTAACAGGATGAAGAACAAACACAAAAGAACACAAACAGTGCTACACCAGACCAAAACCTACTTGATCAGTTGATTAAAAAGAGAAATTTAGTATAAAGTTCGCTTATCGTGTCTGAATGAACACATTTAGAAAAGAGAATTTAAGAGATACCATTTTCACATGAGAATCGGCCTCGCGGTAGGCATTCATATCTGTATCTTTGCCGAACAAGCTGTCTAGAGAATCTGATGACTCGGATTTATGAAAAGCCTGGAAGGTATAAATCAAATCAGAAACCAACAACTATACATCTACAGCAAGTACAGTCCAGGATAAATCTTTATCTGGTGAATAGGAACTAGAAGTAGCTTCAAAGAATGAGGTACAAAGAGAAGATTCACTAATAGATTGAGGGTAAGAGGGTATGTAATTCAACTCGCTCACATTGACATCATGATGACTAAAATCCAAATTATGTGAAGTAACACTTAATTTACCAATAATTCAATGGTAAAATGAGAATATATGACACCCTGGGAAGAACCCACCGTGAAGTCCATATTACAATTTAAAGAAAATATAGTCATATGTCTTGAGTCACAAACACGACGGGAGAAGATTTTAAGATTGCTGTTATACTAGAATATTGAATCATATAATGAAAAATCCAATACCAAAATTTAAATGCAGCTTTTATGTCAACAATTTAGTCCTCAGCGAGTTAACATAGTAAAAATCCAGGGTGATTTGCCCTCAGACTCGAACTCGCATATGACTAAACAGCTTTCCAAAGTAAATAGATGAGTACCTTGCTTGCAAGGTTTGCAGCTAAACAATCATTGCCACCGCTCAAGAAACAATCATCAGAAAACTCTGACTTTGGTTGCTGAAGATCCTGTTCGATTAATGTGAATGCAGTATAATTTCGATAAGGAGCAGAAAATAAAAATAAAATAAAATTTAAGATCAGTGTTATTTAGCATTCATCATCTTATGCAATTGAAAGACTACATAAAATCTTGGGAAATTTATAATCCCCGTCATTCAGCTGCAAATAGAGAGAAGTCAAATCATGGATATATTAAGCTGTTTGACTTTATTCAAAAAAAAAAAAAATTTAAACAGATTTAACCCATGTTTGTCACATAATGATCCTATATCCCTTTTTCTTATCGAAAAGCAAACTTGGATAAAACAAATAATTGCAAAAGCTGGCAAGAACCGGAACTTCAAGGAGCAAAGTAATAACACTTTCACCATCTAAATGTGAAAGAGAACACTGAAGTATCATATTGCCCAGAACAAAATGTATACGAATACAGTATCAATATTACTTTATCTAAGGGGGAGAGAAGAACTTACGGAATATGTGAAGAGAATCTCCAATAATGACTCGGCATTCTGCTCACCTATGACAGGAAGAAAATATTCACTTGTTTGTTTGATTACTCATTACTGAATGGAAATGGTGATATGTAATCATGATACTGAGATATATATAAGCACTTAAGAAAATAATTAAGTAGCTGAAGGGTTAAATAAAAAGGTTTGGAGATTTTTTCAGCTTAGAGAACATGAAAGCACAGTTAACAACCGAGTTTTCCATAAGAAGAAGCTAAACAAACCATTTTCCTCAATGACTTTGTTGACAAGCGATGGCGCGAAACCCATCCCTATGAATGATGATCTCAAATTGATTCCAGATGAACTTGCCACATTATCCTATAATAAAAGCAGTTCACAAAGACAATAAGCATCAGTGAATAAATAGATCCAAGTCCGACCACAATATTATGTAATGATATCTTCGAATGCAAATGTTTTAAGTTACAATGTACTGTACTGCTAGACTGCTAGTCCCTATGCTACAACAGGAATGTTGGCACAGGGATCGCATTCAACCTCAAACTAGTTTTTTTCATAAAACCTTGCTCAAATTGCAACATTCAGATAGCAACTAAAACCAAACATACCACCCCAGAAGTCGAGCACATGTGTTGCGGTGGCAAATTATAATTTACAATCTCATCCTTTAAAACAAAGCCAACATCGGTTTCCAGCACAGGAGAATCTTCGTCATCCGAAATGTCCACTACCTCGCACTAAGAATGGGGGAATATAAAATTAAAAATGAAAACAGTCTTAATAACATTTTAAATACCCCTGAATCAAATAGAAAAACCCAAACTCAGACCCTGAAATTCACGAACGCTTACCATCTTAAGATTACTTGTGGTTCCCAATAAAAGCAAAACCAAGATTATTTCCTGACAGGTCCTGCAAATTAGAGAATAAATAAGCATATATACAGAGGATATTAACTGGGAAACAATACCCACAAACTGAAGATTATTGTATGCCATGGGAACAATGTTCAATAATTGCTTACGTTTTATCAACTTTCTGCAATTGAGTGCGAAAAATGAAATCAAGATGTGAAATTATCGAATGAAAACGGAGAGAACTTTAAATTGGTCAGCATTATCGGTGCATGCAAATACTTCAGCAAAAGAACACCAAAACCCGAAAATGTACAAAAGAGGGGGAACTCGTTCTTCTTTTTTTTTTTTATTTATTTAAATTATTGTCCTAATTTAAGGAGGAAAAAATAAAAGTAAAATAACAAATCGAAGCAAAAGAAGAAGGGGGTAACCTGTCGATTGACGGCAACGGTAACAAATTCGCGTCGACTGTGCAGTGCAGGCACCGGTGAGAAATATATAACAATTTGTATTGAGTGCTCTCAGAAGTCAGAGCTGAAAAAGTGAAAAGCTGAGACTTAATAATATGTAATTGCGTCGACAGAGGTTCAAGATAGGTAATATCTCAAATTAGCCCATGAGATTCAGTATTCTTCAATTTGCCCCTTCATATTTTCTTTTATTTGAATTTGTCCCCTAATATTAGTAGTCTTCATTTTGTTGTACAAATATGGGGGGTATGGTCGGGTATCTTCTTAAAAAATGATGGTACTGACTGAGTAATTAAAATTTAATGGTTGGTGTACACTACTACATCCTATCTATATACTATATAGTCAATACATTATTAATAAGAAACATAGATGGAATGTATGGCGCAAATAGAAAAATAAAACAGAGACACTGAATATGGCGTATTGCCTTTTTTTTTCTTTTTTTCTTCTTTTTTCTTTTTTCATATCACTTTTATAATCATTGGAAGCCAAAAAACAAAAGAAAGTTAACATAAGAGAGTGTATCATCACCTCCACCCTACTTGGGGAAAAATAAAAAAGAGAAAAAAACATCAGTATTCTTCATCAATCAATGTAGTCAAATACGAAGTCGTCGTCCTCCATCCAATCAAACTGCAAGCCGGCACCCAAGGAATAACTCTACCAGTGACTGAAAACTGTAGAGCCATGACCGAGTATAATGAATGATACACTCCAAAATCCAAATATACACAACTTCTTCACCAACAACTTGTCCAAAACCCATTCAAAAGAAAATTGTCCCCTCTTTCAATATATACCTAATCACCCTTAAGAGCTCTGGGATCAAGTGGTATTGTTCCAACTGTTAAAAAACCACAAGACTCATTTCCCGTAACTTTCACTGCCATTGACCCTATAGTCACAACCTTTACCTGCTCCTTTTTTGTCGTGCTAGAAACAGCAACACTAGGCAATGGACACTCAGGCTCTGTCTTCTCTGCATTTATCGTCAATGAACTCATTTTTAATTCATCAACTGTTTTTGGCACTCCATCTGCGCCGCTTTCACTCACACTTGTTAATTTGTTGGTACTAGAATCTGACGAGGACACTTGCTCTGTAGATGCACAGTGCTTCTTCGTCACTGAGCTGTCCGTTTCAGAATCTTCTGAAACTTTGTTTTTGTTCACAATGGTCAAATTGTCGGCATCATTATTCGTACCATTTACATCTCCAGTGTAAGGAAAATCATGAACATACTGAAGCTTGCGAGGAGGATCCAGTTGTGGAACAAGATATTGATTTTCGTAACTCTTTCTGAGCAGCCTGGTTCTCTCTTCCTGCAGAATCCGCTGTCTATTCTCATAGTACATGAAGTCATCAAGCAAGGATGTTTTTAATGTGTGGCTTTTGTAAATTCTCAGCATCTCCAAACCTTTCTCGTAGCATATCTGAAAACAACAATTAGCATAATTTAAGCACGCTGATCACATTGAACTCGGGTCAAACAATAAAATTGAGTATTTGTGACAGCCCTTGGGCTTCAACATAGTGTCGCTAAATTGAAAGTCATAAATTTAAAGTAACACTTTTTGATGTCGATGATGCCAGCATTCAGCAATAGATAAATATTCAAAAGCGAAAGCATATGACACTATATAAAAAGTGGAAGGATACCTCTTGTGTATCTCTACTGTTTGTCACTGGCTTGTTCTCATTATTCTCTAGTATAATGTGCCTAAAATTAGAGTTTGGCAAATCCTTTATAATGTGCCACTTCACAGGAAAGCTACCACTCCATTTATCTTGCTGCCAGAAATCCATATCTCTATGGAAGTCCACAGGGCCAGTCATCTCTGCAACACCACAGAACTGGCCACTAGCATTAACCTGAAATTCCGAATTACAAAGTAGAACCCGATCAGTAACATTTAATGAGTAAAGGGAAAAGAAATACGGGAGCCCCTCTAATAGAAACAACCTAAGTACTTAACAAAGACATGAGAAACATTACTTACAGAAAAAAAGAGGAAGATAGGACAGCCTCTTAAATCTCCTAGGGTTGTTCTATGGGCATCTTGATATGCAGTAGTGAGCTTCTTGTTCCCATTAGGTGTAGAAGACCACACGTTGTACTTTATACTCTTATGCACATCATCCTCACTATACGATTTGATCACAAAGAACTTTGCATTTGCATAGTCGACAGGAAAATCAATTTTGTTATACTGGTCTTTAAAGATAGTAATGTTCCCTTGAGCATCCGGATTTCCGGCCCTTGTTGTATAGGCTCTAACCACCAATTCATTTTTCAATTTGTTTGTCCTAGACCCCCGATTCTGCTCTATCAATGGTCCCCCATTCTGCTCTCTCAATGCGTCAGGGCTGGCTCTTTCAGCATCAGTGACTCTATCGTAGAGTGCATTGGGCTTAACTCTATGTACAGATGCCTGAGCGTGATTGCTTGATTCGAAACCAGACAATCCTTTTGCAGAAGTAAAAGCACTCTTTGATTGACTACTAGCAGATGAAGCCTTCCCGCGTAAAGCATTTTCTGTGCCTTGAGGATCTCTTGCCTAAAATACAAGATTTTAACAGAATAGCGTACAAACTGAATATCAAAATATTGTTATAAAACGTGGGAAATTGGATGTTTTATTTTTATCTATTTGATAAGAAGACATGAATTATCTTGTTAAAATTACTCACCAGAGATATCTGTGATGATGCTCTATTAGTAAAATTAACAGAAGTAACATTAGGCCAATGCTGCTTGACAGATCCAGTATTAGCTCCACCCCCTTCAGACATCCTTGCAGAGGAATTTCTTCGACTAGAGTTATCCCCAAGTCTAGCCAGTGACGAATTAGGGGTATTTGGAGGCAAATTGTATCTAGAAACTAGACCATCAACTTTACTAACAGATACAGCATTATCAACGAATGAGTCTCCTATCCCATTTGCACGAGACTCGGGCCTTGATTGAAGAACCACGGGCACATACGAAGGTGATGAAATGGGATTTTCATACGAGGGAATTGCATAGTACTGCTGGGGCGCTACAATAGATCCATCCAGTCCTATCATAGCACCAGGAATATAAGGATTGTATGGGTTATAAGGTGACTGCCCATATCCATAGCTAGGATTATAATATACATATGGCAGATTTTCATTTGTCACACCCTGCAAGAAAAGAACCAGATTAATATCTTAGATCCGGTAACTCGAATAAGAATGCAAATAAACAAGCCAGAAGAGAAGGACTCACAGTATACTGAAGATCTTGACCATCCAGACCAAAAATCCTTTGGTGGTCTTCCCAGTCACCAGTTGATTCAAATCCTACCAGAAGGGAAGAGCATATCATTTCAAACGAGGTACCATACAGAATTACCAATACCAAAATACAACGTGCTTACCAATTTAATTACAATTGCTATTTCATTGGTATAATGTTTCTTACCTGTACAGATATATCCATAGTTGGTAGTAGGGGGGTAATACAAGCCCTGATCGACAAAGTAGTCCGGAGCTCCCTCATTATACATGGATTCAAGTGGTTCAAATTGGGAAATAAACTGTGGGATTGGCTCAGAACCTTGAATCTGGGAAATCCAAAACAATCTGCATTAAAGTCAATCTACAAATTAAAGGAAAAAAAGACAACAACGTGCTGAGCAATAAACCGTATCACTGCCAGACCACTGAATCACTCTACCCGGAGAACTCGTGAAATATTAGGTTAAAAAAAGTACATTCCAGGTGTTTACCAGATACATATCAGCAAGTCCTTGACCAGGAACATTGTATACTTCCATCCCAGGACTTGCCACACCCTGCAGAAACATATACTGATACTTAAAATGCATATAGAGCTCAAGTAGAAACTTAAAATCTGTTTGAAACCTCAGTCTGAGTTATCATATTGACAAGAAAAAATTAGACGTTTGATGATGTAAAGTAACAAAAGATCGGGATATCCAATGAAGTGAATGAGGATGGACCCTAGCTCTCTAATTTCTTTTAGCAGGAGGTGCGGAAATTGGTTCATGAGAAAAATTGGAACATTTGAGAACTTCTGGTGCCTCAAAATTGATAGGCAAATCCAAAATCAGAATCTCAATATGATTTTTCGGCCAATCATGCAAACCTAACTGTGAAAACATAAGTTGGGCCAAAATTTAAGCAAGATACCTAATCGTATACCAAAATCAGTTCAATCAATAATTGTTTCGCAACTAAATCCCTAGAAATCAAGTGAGTCCGAGAAAGTTACCAAAAACTCTAAATAAATATGAATACTAGAAAGGAAAAAGGAAAATCCAAAACTTGTATTGACATACCTAGAAGAAGATCGATACGAAAGCGAATTGAAAAGGAGAGGCGAAAGGGAGGATTGTTAGAGAGATAGATATATATATGGGCGACAACTTACGGAAGAGATGAGCAGAAGAATCAAGCCATGGTTGACCCAGAAAGGAGCTGGAAGATCATAGTTGAGGATGGGTGAATCGAATTCTTAATATTTCTGGGAGGAATCAGTGTTTGTTTAATTATTGGATTTCGTTAGGAATAATTGATTATTAAAATTGCTAGACGTAGAACAAGTGTTTTTTTTTCTTTTTCTATGTTTTCAAATGTATACGCGGTTAAGAAAGAGAGAAACCCTAGAGAGAGAGAGAGAGAGAGAGAGAGAATTAAAGGCGGTCGAAAGCGGAACGAAATGAAAGCTTGAAAAATGTTTGGAGAGACTGATTTGTTGGCACAAGCTGCACTACACAAAGAGGAATCCGCTGTTTGGTTAAATTACTAATATAGCCTTTGGTTTTCGAATTTTGGATAAAGAATAGGCAAAGGAAGTCGTGGGGAAGAAGGCAAAAGAAGGAACTAGATGTTTTGGAACATATAACAAAACCAAATTGGATTTTGTTTCCATTATTCTTTTTCTCTATTATTATTATTTATTATTGGTATTTGCGTGAAAATAAAATAGGTCAATTTGTTGATTAATTTTTCAAGAAAATGCACTTGAATTACATTGGTGAAAATAATTATGAAACACTAGGATTTAATTTATCATTTCGTGTATCAATTTTATGTTTAAAAAAAGAGGGCTTCTCTCCACCTCTTGTTTGAAAAACAAGACAATCTTGCACGTCTACAACTCCCAACTAGCAAATTAATGACCAACATTACACAACAATATATATATATATATATATATATATATGAGCTTATCCACACACACACACACACACACACACAAAAAG